GGCAATGAAAAACGCAATCGTAAACGGCAGGAAAAGGGAAGCAAATACGATTGAACACAACAGACAAGAATAAAGAACAGGTAGATTCTGTTCATAAACCAAATCAACATTTGATTATTGAATCGAGGTACAATTTGACCGTTGGATTATTCATTTTATGAATGGATTACTGAATCAACAAACGAAATCATTTTTCCATTGATGAATTCATTAGTTTGTTAGCGACGGGAACGCTTGACCTGGTTTGACTGTAAAACAATGGAACCTCGCTCAACGACCACCGTGCTGATACAACCACCTCAATATTAAGACCACAATCTTTCGACCCAAACGTAAAAAAAATGGAGTCATTTTTGTTATTTTCAAAACGAGCTCCTCTTTGTTACTCCCAAGATGTTTCATTGCCCAACTGTGGTCGCATTAACAGTTCTCTACTGTCTAGCTCGCTAAACTACAGGCGGGATATTTTTATAACCATTTTAACAGAGATTGTTGTCGTAGCAACTTACATTAAGATCACGTTTACGCCAAACGGCAAACGTGAATTTGTACCACGTGATCAAGTTTTCCACTTATTTTTCGTTTACTGGGGCTTATTGCTTCTACACAAAAATGAGTAGTTTTATGCCAGTTTTATGCAAAAGAATCGTTCTGGACTGTTTTTATGTGCTTATTTTCTATTCTGAGAAATTCTCGACTGACGTTTGCCGTTTGCCGTATGCCGTAAACATGAATCTTAATCTCTCTATTTAGTCTAAACTAACTGCGCGTCTAAAACGCGAGCCAGAGCATTGAAATGTGCGGGAGCCGAAATTTGTGACGCACAGAGGTGCTTAGTCCGTCGGGAGCGTCGTTAGCTATAAAGCCTAAAGCCTGGGTGCAAAAAGGCTCGCAAACTCATGTACCAGGTCATTCTATGAAGACATCATCGAGGAGTATCGTGTCCTTTTGCTCGCATCTCTAAGTGAAGTTGCCTCCGCCCCGGACGGAACTGAACTTCTCGTTCGGGGTTAGATTAGGTCTGTAACGCAGGCTATCCTTCATTCCTTCCAAAAATTAACAAAGTGAAGTATGCTGTATACCAGTGTTCAACAAAAACGATTTTAGCCATCCACAGGAAATTAGCTGGCTTGGCTATAATCGTGGCTGAGTCTTGCTCAGCCTACGAGTAGTCCTGTATTTTCCTCAGGCGTCCGTAGGTGAGCGCAAGCGTGCCCGCAAATTCACCTTCTGCGAAAAAAGGCGACTCGCAGAAGGAAGAGAGAAAAAAGGGTTCCCTTACTGGGTGTTGGAAAGACTATTGTTGGTTCGCTTTTGTTTTTGGTGTGGTTATTCTTCCATGTCCGTTTCAACGCTTTCCCCGTTTTTTTTTTTTGATCTGCTTTTTTCTCCTTCTTCATCTACGAAAGGTCACCGGAAATATCTACCATTTATTTTGTTCGTCAGATGAGGATATTTAATTATAAAATTGTGCAAAAGTGTTCTTAAATTGTGCAAAAGCCTTTCCGACAGCAGGAATGGCTTGAAGGCGGCCCTTTGTGCGGAAGGTTCCGAGTTCGATTCCTAGGTGTTGACCACAAATCCTTCTTTCAACCTTCTTTCTTTTCCATGTATCTTAAATACCGGTAATGGAGATTATGGGCGGGGGGCAGGGGAGGGGTAAACTAAGCACACCTTCGGCCTCAGGTTTGTTTGGCAGATAACTATTTCGGGCTACCGACTTAAAATAAGGACTCTTTACCGTTTTCCCTGTATTTGAAGAAAACGCAAGGGTTTGGATGGCACCGGATCGCTTGCAACTCTTTAATTGTGTGATACTTTACAAAGCCTGCTCTGTTAGACTTTTTATCCTCAAGGTAATCTGTCATCACGAGGATCTGATTTAGTGCACCATAACAGAAGTCTCTCTTATTCATATCAAACTAAAACAACCATGCATTTAGTTGTTCCCCACTTTATCTAGAATATAAGGCAATCTTTACAAGATCATCTAACCTAAGTGGCACCTATGTCCCACTGTGAATTTTGTTTCTTCTGAGAGAAAACTTGAGGTAAACTAACCGACTAAAATTTTAATGCTCATTGGAAAGTTCAGGGTTCTTTACTACTGAACCAAGATGTAGCCCATGGTTTTGATGTGCTTGTTTCCGTTGTCTGGGGAAAATGTGGCCTCATTTCCACACGTGTTTGTGTCGTCATGATGTCCTCCTGTACCAAATCCGATTCTGGAGTCACACAAGAAACAATCGTTCGCTTCATTACTTGTGATACCAATTCTTGCCTTGGAATGTGGTTTATCACTGCAGATAGCGTTGAACCCTTCCTTGTTACAGTATTTTTGTAAGGATGCCTGTGGACCAATCAGCGACTTCCACGTGATTCGACCCAGTGAGGTGGCGCGGTATTGGCCGTCAGCGATCAGCGAGTACAGCGAGTTGGCGTGCTTGTAGATGGTAAAGAATCTTATCTTGTGGCCGATCTTCATACCGAGGCAGATCTTGGAGAAGGGTGTTTTCCAGTAGCTCGGCAGCTTAGTCTCTTGTGAATCAAACCCAGTTCTCCCTCCTGCAATGTTGTATGGATTTTTGTCGCTCCAGAGATGAGAATCGTAGTGGAAAGTTTTCTGCAAACGAGAATCGTAAAATAAATATTCATATCACAGTTAGTTGATAAGCTGAAAGACTTGTACTACCTTAGTGCCGTCAATCTTCATGGCCATCGTCCATCCTCCATCTCCGCATCCAAAGTCTCCCATGTGACAGTAAACAGAAAACTTGTATGAATCAAACTTCAGCGTATACACTCGGCTGGTAGTTAACCTGATGGACAAAAATTTAAGGGACAAAAATGAACAATCCTCTTGATCTTTGTCAATTAATGTCAAGAGAGAAAAATCGTCTCGTACCAATTCAAGGTGTTCACTAAAAAAAATAGAGCTATGTGAAAATTACAAGAATTACCGCAAAGTTTCCTTTCTTCCATTTATCGTTGAACCTGGCAAGATAAGAGGCTTCGAGCTTAATCATCCATTTTTTACCAATTTCTGACTATTTTTTTGTTGTTTTCGGTATAACCATCTGATAAAAATTTTAGGAGGATGAAGCGTCTTCCATTCTCGCTTCGCTGAGGTACGCGTTCTCGAAACTTTTACTGCGGGTAAATTACATTTGTTTTAAAATATTTTGCTATCTTTTTATTTCCCTAACTTTTAGCCCAGCAGCCATGATTGCGCTTTTCACTTTATCTCATCTCTTGGAGGTTTTTTAAATAGGCGCTTCGGGTGAACTGGCAAAAGATAAGTACTTGTAACATGCATGTGACGCATCATATAGGCGACCGGTAAACTTACCCGTGATTATCATACAGTTCCTTTCAAGAGGAGGCGGGAATGCCTATAAGGAAAAACAATATTTCCTGTAAGATAGGGGATAAAATTCACTTTTAGCCAAAACTTAATGCTGAAATATTTTAGGTCAACTCTTTACCCGGAGTCTTGCTGATCAGTGCAGTTAGATTTTCCAACTTTTCCCCCAAGTTCTGTGCAAGCTTGTCAAGTTTCTTTTCCAACCTCTTGATGGCATTACAAGCTTTAGGGAGAGTTGTTTGTTCCTTCGCGACAACTAATAGTATGGCCATATGGGCGAGAAAAACCAACAACGAACGCATTTTTGGAAATTAGCTCGTGTAGTTTGTTCCGGCAAGGAGTCCTAAGGCCTAATAGTATACTGACACCCGCACGAGTTGGTAACACTAAGATATTATTAACAAAAGATAGACGAGAAAATTATCTCGTCCGTATCAAAGTAGCCGCGTCATAATAATTTGTGAAGTGCACTTTTCACTTTACAGTTTAGTTAGCGTACCACTCTGCTTTGTCTTGAAGTGTTTTCTGTTTACACATTTCCTAAATCTTAGGGTTTTGAAAATATAAAGAACGGCTCTTATTTGACAACTTTGCGCCGAATATAAAGGCAAAGTGAGCATTACAAAAGGCTGAATAATAATTGAGATGAAGTCGGCTTAAAAATCGCTTAGCCCAAGGCGAATAAACAGTTTGGATGCATTTTCTACCCGTCTTTTTTTTCCTAGTCCGCAGTCGCTTACAGAGGAAGAACCGCTCATAATCTTAAAATACATTGCATCAGAGAAAATTCAAGAACGATTGAAAACAAATCTCAATTTAATATTGTAAGCTGAAAAAACTAACAATTGCTGGAGTCAAAACAATCAAATTAACATCGCCGTGTGTGCATTTTTTCAAAAGGTAATGTTCCGGTTTGATAGTTAGCATATTATTATCAATCGTGGTGGTTTGTGTATGATTAGGCTCCCTTAACATCCCCTATTATTCGATGGTCAGTTTGGTATTGATGTAGCACGTGAAAAAGCGGCTCTCAGTTTCCACTGGCTCATAAAGCGAGCCGCGCGAAAACGTGCGAACGAACGGCAAGTTCGCATCTCCTTTCAAGTGGTTCTCCGCCTGCTTGCAACGGGTAGGGGCCTTCCCTTGTGCCTTTGCGTTTTTGAAGCTTTCCCATGAACCTTGCGTCCCCACCACTGAATTTTTGCAGGCTTTCCGTTCGTAATAATAATAATAATTATTATTATTTCTGACCTTAATGTGCGCAACTTAACATGAGAATGATCAGCTGCACATTACAACCACATTACAAGAGGCAGATGAAAGATAATAACAAAACAAAAAGATAGAAATATTTAACAATTATTCTTTGAAATCGAGGTGAATAGTGGCAAAATATTTACCGAGCCACGAAGTGGCGAGGTAAATATTCCTAAAGCCACTATTCACCGAGATTGAAAAGAGCAATTGTTTTAGTATATACACACGAAGTGATCTCAACAAAGTCAGAGAGGAAACCATTAAAAAGTACGATTTTATCGACAGATCAGGTCAGCTAGACACGCGACAGTTTAAAAATAGATCTTTGTAGAATTTTCAAACGTGGCAATTCACAAGTTTATCACTTTGCAAACAACAGCGTAATGACTTAAATGGAACCGCTAAAAGTTTGAATTGTTTCATTACCTGAGAAGAAAAGAAGAGCTTTTTTCTTTTCTGTTGACTCGCCAAGTTTATGGCCAGAACGGTTTGTTGTGTCGTTCTTCGCATGAAGTGCTGACAAAAATGGCGATTCGGTTCCTCGAGGTAAGACGTCGTCTTCATGTAGCATTCTTTCTCGTGTTTACTTGAAACGTAGAATTTCTGCAAACATTTGCTTTCAAATTTGTTTGTCATAAATAAACTTCGTTTTTGGGCCAAATTTTTCTTGTTAGGAAACGCTGAGTTCGCGAAACGGCCTATTCTAGGCGAATAAACAGGAGTTGTCCATCCGACCACAAAACTCAACAACAGTAAATGGAAAAACGCCGTTTTGAATCCTTCGAAGTCTTTTCTTGCCTGGAAAAAGTCAACCCTAGGATTTTGTCGACTTTTAACAGATCTTTCACTAAGAAAATGTGAAAAAAACCGAGCTCACACATTATCCACTCGCTAGGAGGTGAATATTGTTGAATAGTCCGAGATAGCGAACCAATCAGATTGCTTAAATCACCAAGATCACTGAGTGTGTATATACTAAATATCAATATATCTATAAAAAGTACACATATTTAAGCGATAGACCACTCTATGGGTTTACCGGCGTGGTACCCCACGCGGGAGTTTGGGAGAACACTCGAAAAGCTTGAAAAATAACTCACCTTCGGCTCGTGATTTACAAGCTTTTCGAGTGTTCTGCCAACATCCCAAGTGGGTTATCACGCCGGCAAACCCATAGAAAGTGTGGTCTATTGCTTTTATACAATAACTTTAAGTAAAACTATGAGTTTACCGGCACAATAAACCATAGGTTTTTAACCAATCAGAACGCGCATACTATCTCAGTTATTTTATAAATATGCATAACCGCATATTAAGTTGCATATTTAAGTGTGATGATCTTCTCTAAACTTTTATATTATTAAAAAACTTATTAATAGTTCATAAAGAAAAAACAAAAGAAAGTGATGTTTAATGAGTGTTTTAAATATCTGATAAAGACACGGCTAAACTTTACGTCCAGTTTTGTGGACCAAAATAACCCCAGATCTAAATATTAGTGCAAGAATGAGTTGACCTATATCAGAGATTTTGAAGCCGTCCAAAAAACTCACAGTCATGTGTTGTTTTTAAACCTGATAATACACTCCTGCTCGTTTTTTAAACAGTGCTCAATGTTCGGTTCTTTCCTACTTTGATTAATGTGCTCAGTAACTCGCTAATGACTTGTTTATCCTCTAGGTATGAAAAGGACAGATTTGTACAAGAGGTGCATACAGACTATGTAGTGTGGGAAGAAACAGGCAGGGCAGATTACCGTTACACTGCAACTATGACAGAGGTGTGCAAGAGAGACAAACTTGCTGTGATCATTAAGAAGTGTCAGATTTTACTCATGTGTATTAGAAGGTTCCAATGAATGTGAGGGGCTACCACGAGGTTGTCGCTGGTTTAGATCAATTCTGTGGTGAAGTCATTACCAAGTGCCTTTGCTCATACACAAAATGCTCCTGTAAAGTTATGAAGATGTCAAATAAAATTTCACCAGAGAGCACTAAACCATAAATTTTTTTGGGTGATTCAGTTTACAGGAATAGCATTAAAACTTGAGAAAGTTGGCCCAACTCTTTCAACTTTCAAACCATTTTCATCCTTGCCATCAGTTGCATCAGAAGACAGGAAACAGTTTTGTTGCCTAAATATAGTCTTAAATAACAAAACTGGGCCAGTATTTTTGGAAGTCCACTGATGCGAAGACAAATTTAGTTTTATAAAAATATAGCGAATAGCGTGATATAGCCACTTAAACAAATCCACAAGGTTGACGATGGTTTTCGGCAATAAGGGAAACGAAGCAAAGTAAAAATGAAACGGATTATTGGAGAACTTACTTTCCTTGATTGCTGAGTTTGACTAGTTGTCAAATGAAATTAATACGACTGACGAAATAGGCCGGAACACATTTCCACTCAGTTTTGCGAAAGTTGGTATAATCCTTCTCATTTTGTCTATATTTCTTTGATAGGCTGGTTGTTTAAAAGAAGCTCAGTCATGGAGAAGAATGACCACAAATACCTCTGGAGAAACAACAAACCTCTGGACACAAAATGTTGGTTTTTCTTTCCTATTTATTTAGCAGTTAATGAATGAGGCTGAGTAGGATACGAAGAATTAAGCAGATCGAGGAGGGTGTTATCTACTGAGACCGAAGGCCGAGGTGGATAACACCCTCCGAGATCTGCTTAACTCTTCATATCCTACCAAAACAACTCAACCTCGTCCCCAGGTCTTTTCGGTAACGATGCCTTAACCTGTAGAACGCTGCATTTTTGACGTCATTTCCTCGTTAAACGCAAAATTCTTCTAAATTTGGTCATCAGTAACTGGTTATGGTGAATTATACGTGTGCTTTTAGCCAATCATAATTGGGGAAATATTTTGAATGAATAATAATTTACTTTATTTCTTTTTTTGAGCTATCGTGCGCGGATGTCTAGTTGTTAGTTTAGTTGTTTAAGACTGACGCCAGTTCATTTGTTAAATAGGAGATCATACGGTGGCTCATACACCGAATGCAGTGGATCTCTCGGTCGGCCCGGGTCTAGTTGCGCGAAAGTGAGGCTAGTGAGGCCTCGATAGTTTTGTTTTGACTGCGCGTCTTAGCGATTCAGTCGATCAATATGGTTTCCTTCAAGTTGTTACGTGCTTAAGAGCCCTCAAAGAGGAGATTTAACTCCAGCAGAGACGAAAGTTGATTATCTTCGCTTTGCCAAAGTTCTTTTCGAAGAAAGAAATGGATTCAAGTGATTCGGCACGGCGAATGGAGGCACTCTACTATCACGGAGTTATTTTTTAAAAGGACGAAAGTGTGCTCGCTTCACTTCAGAAGAGAAGACTCACGAAACTATTAGAATAGGTGAATAACTGAAAGATTCATGGTTCTGTTTCAAGTTTGTTTGTCCGTTCTCTTACCAAGGAAAGGTAAATATCCTCGAGAACGAGTGAATCCGCCGTCGCGACTTACCAATCTTTAGGCGCTCTCAGGGACACCATGACAAACAACAAGGGCAAATGTTTTTTTCACAGTCTTCACGATCCTGTGTTCAAGAGTGAGCAGAGCCATAAAAGAAGCAATTTTTGGAAAATCGCTGTTAGTTTATCTCGAAACCATTCGACAAGTTGCTAAAATAGATCAAGCGCAAGGTCAAATACAATGCTCGAATACTTGCACGCTGCTTTTCTTCCAGAACCTTTTTTCTTCTTCTTACTTTCATAGTTGGTAACGGTTCCTCCGTTAGTTTTTTCAGTGCATTTTGGTCAAGGACTGTTCTTGAAATATGTCGCCTTCTTCTGGTTCTTACATAGTTTCACAGGCCACGCTTTTAGGATTAACAGGCGATTGTTATTGTTGTTCTTATATTTTAATGGAGCTGTTTTCAGCGTGAAATTTAAAAGATCTTACGGTCCACCGCGGATGCTCCCGTTCTCGAGAATGTTTACCTTTTGTTGGATAAATAACAGACCATGCAAACATCTTGGAACAGCACCATCTCTTGTGAAAATTATTTCATTCAAATACTTTCGTGAGTCCTCTCATCTAAAGCAAGTGAGCGAGCACAGTTTCGCTGTAAAGTGCTTCCCATTGCCGCGCCGAATCGCATGAATCCTTAAGTTTCTTTGTGAAAAGATCTCGGGAAAGTAAAGGCTATCCCAGCTAGAGTAAAATCTTCTTTTTGGTGGCCCTCAGGCATGCAACAACTCGATGCAAACCATATCGATCGACTCAATCGCTAAGACGCGCAGTCAAAACAAAACTCTCGAGGCCTAACTAGCCTCGCTTTCGCGCAACTAGACCCGGGCCGGCCGAGAGGTTCGCCATATTTGCGTTCGGTGTATAGAGGACATGCTACCTACATTTTTATATCGCGCGATAAAAAACAGTTTATTCCGCGATAAATTGAGAATTATCGCGCGATATATAATGCTCAATTTATCGCGCGATAAATTGGGAATTATCGCGCGATAATTCTCAATTTATCGCACGATATTTTCGATTTATCGCGCGATATGAAAATGTAGGTAGCGTGTCCTCTATGGGCCACCGTAATACCACTCCAAAAACAAAATCCTTTTTTCTCCTTTGTAACATCTTTCTTGTATGGACAGACATGTACACAAAAGAATTTAATTATTACCTTAATTTATTGCGGTAGTAGTGAGGTGAGTAAATTGACTGTGTCTGTCTCGCCAAGATCAAAGCACTAGCTGCCAGTGCGCTTTTGTGAAACTTGAATTAAGGAAAAGTAAAGATTTATTGTTGTTGTAGTTGTTGTTGTGTCAATTCAACAAACGTGATACCCTCTCTTATTCTTAGAACTATCAAAGCTGTTTCGAGCCAGCCCCAAGTGATAACAGCTTTGATGGAAGCCAGCCGTATGAGATTCTAAACTCATCCGGGATATCCCAGTTGGTGTTTCTTGGTTCTGGGTTGTTTCGATTCCTACTCGGAGTTGTTGGTGCTCATTTGAGGTGAGTGATATTTCTAGCTAGAAAAAATGGCCTGTACAAGTTTAAGGGATTTTAGAGCTTGTTCCAGCCTCTTAGTTCGGGACGAGCGCAAAGCTAGCAAGCGCGCGAGAAAAACTTTGCGAAGAATGTGGAAAGACGTAGCCTGCGTTGTAGCTGGTGGAATTTATCGCGCGCGACGACTTCATTCCACAGGCGCTTTTGATTAGGCTAAAAAGCTGTGATAACAGTGGGGACGATTAAAGTGATGTCCCTCTCGAAAATCCCTCGTACCACCAACAGCCCACCAGCAGGCTTGGAGAGAAGCTGTTTGCTAACTAAAAGCGTGGAGCAGACTACAAGTTTACCTGCCTTTTAGTTGTCCCAAGTGTCGCTTGGGGATTGAGCCCATGGCGTTACCAACCAGGGGCGGTGAGGCTGCCTTTAAGCCATTCAGCCCGGACTTAACTAGCCTGTGCCAGGCTCCGAGATAGTCGGGTCCGCTGTATTCAGAACTTTTCGCGTGCCTTTTTCTTTAGCGCCTTCCCCCACTATTGAGAGCCTGGAACAGGCTAGGACTTAACAAGAATTTGGTTCAAAATGAGCTTATGTAATGGAATTTTAACAGGGTGTAAAGTTGCACCTACACTACAAGAACCAATGTCTGTCGAGCTAATGGGCATGCAAAATTGGCACACAATTCACTAGGAAAATAATGTCGCTGAAACCTTCTTGGTTTTTTCAGCAGATAAGTTGTAGGATTCCCGTTTGTTTACTCTGATCATATAGGTTAAAAACCCATTATTTTGGAGTATCTGCTCTCAAATAATATCTAGTAAACAGTTTTCTCCTTGTTTGATTTCTTGTTTGTTTGTTTGTTTTTTTTAATTCTGGAGACTAACTTTGTAGAATTGATCACCACTTAACAAATACTAAGTACCTAGGTAGCAAAGTGGCCCCTTAAAAAATGCCCTTAAATGCCCTTTCTACAATTTGGGCTTAAAAGGAAAAAATAGAGGTGGCTACGCCCTTACAATCTGAGCTAAAACCTCTGGCGGCGGTACCTATAGCTGTACCTACAGCATAGCTGTGCGTTCTTTATCATCAACGATAGGTTCCTTTTTTTTCTGATGTCTTTCTTTCCTTGTCATTTATATCCCTGCAGTTTTTGTGAACTTAGCACGCGGTTTTCCGTTGAGGTAACAAGCACTGATGAAGCGAAGGAATTCTTGCCGCAGCTTGTGTCTATTTTAGTGGTGACCCTTAGTAGCACTGTTCTACTGTACATCAGCTTTGCTCATTATACTAAAAAGACGCTGCATCGACATCAGGAAGATGAGGAAGAACAACAAAGGCTGCAGGAACTCAAGTAAGAACAAAGTTTGAACCATATTTTTCCTTAGCCTGCTGTTCCAGGCATTCAGATAATAGGGAGGCCGCCAAAACAAGCCATAGAAACATAAGACGCACGCGATCTCCTCTTTCCCCAACCCCCGGACGTCAGTTTTCGCATGAGGTTTCATAATCCTTGTACATTACTATCGTGGAGCCTGGAACAGGCGAATTTTTCCTCGACTAAATGGTGTGCTTCAATTTTCTTTCATCAATTTTAAGATACTTCCTCTAGTACCAGTTTTCGCAGTGAGGAATTTCTACTCTCGTACAGCACGCCGCTGCGACTTCTTAGGCACTTTCTCTATTTTCCCTCCACGGAAAAGAAAAAAATAATCCTTCCTTATGGGAGATGGAGAGGCGTGAATTCGAAAGTCAGTTATATTCTGGAAGCTCCCTGTTACAAGAAGGTTTCCTTTCAGGTGGGGTCTGTGGTTTGGGGCGGGGGGTGGTGTGGCTAGGCTGCGAACGAAAGGCATGTCGACAGGTCCTAAGATAATAAATCTATTAAATACATATACTCAATTCTACTTGTGTCGTGTCGCCACCTTCCACAGTACCTCCTAGATTTGAACATATTTTCACACTTAGAATCGCCGGTTTCGCTTGGCAATTTCCTAGTTTTGAATAGATTAAGTTCACCGCTTACTATGCCCGTTACCCTCTTACACATGTCTTGTGTTGCAGGAGCCTATTTTCCTCCTATCAGCAAGGAGCAGATGATGAAGGCCAGGCTCATCGACGCTCCACAGGTCACAATGTTCGCCGCTTTACAGGAACAGCAATGCTCATGACCAATCGGCTGCCAGAGGAATGCCTGGTAGAGGAATCCCTCCAAGCGGCAGACATAGTCATGAACAGCTTACATACACAACCACCTCCACCAAGTGATCTCGACTGATCTACAACCTCCCCCTCCCCCTTATCCCCACTCCATCCCCTCTTACCGTTGTCGCATCTTACTGTTTTCAACACGAGTTACGTTTCGATAAGCCATAATGTGGCTACGGCGAAGTTTAAAACTGCCACAAATTTAGCTTTTCTAACCAGTATCATTTGCCAAAAAAAAAAAACGTAAATCGTTAATGCTGTTTTTGTATCACTTTTAATCAACTTAGGAGATCTTCATGCATTGTAACTTCATATATTAAACGTCTTTAAATCTCCTTGTTGGCTATCTGAGTTAGTTTTTCCTTCCTTATAATTTAAAATTAATCGCGCTTGTCACGTTAAATGAAAACTTTTATGTTCTTTTTGATCACCAAAAGAGCATTGTGTCAGAAAGTTCAATTTACATTGAGCAGTGTTACATTACGCTATTTGATAAGAAAGTTCAATATTCTGGTAAGAGATGCAAAAACTGAAGAAAAAATGCAACAGGTTTTATACCTACCGCAAACAACAGAGACCTTTAGATGACTTAGATTCGCAGACGACACGAGGACGAGACTAGTTTAACGTTTTCTCGCGTTTTCTAAAAAAGCCAGGTCAGAAAGTTTCATTTTTACATTTTTTTTTTCACCAGAAAATTTAACAGGTAACACGGTTATTATTAGTGAAGGAGGTTAAGCCCTTTCCCGATGACAAAATAAAACTTCAAATATTTGATAACTTGTTTCCACACTCACACATTTTCGCTAAAACCAGGAGCAGTTGGTAAACAAAACGTCACCAAAAAAGTGTCAGTCGCCTTGTTTCAAATTTAAGTGCCATTATTCCAACTCGTTCTGTTTGTCAAATGTTGACGAATTTTTCTAGAATTAAATTTTAAAGGTCTGATTCTAAGTTTGAAAAAGAAAATGAGACTCCTTGTCTTAAGTTCACGTTCTACATAAAACGTGAAAACAGGAAGTTTCACGTCGTAGCCGTGCAACAACGGGAAGGAAATGTACAAAAAAGTGTGATGCACGCGCAAAGTTGTTGTTTTGTTAATCCAAACCTATTGCTTTTTTGCCGTTCTCCTTGCCGTCGCCGTCGTCGTTGCTTAAGCTCCCTGTCACGCGTGCGCACTACTTATTATTAAAAAAATCTCGTCCTCGTGGTTGACCTGCTCTTAGAATCTACTAAGGTCTCTGTATTGGTAAAAATAGAAAGCCTCTCGAAACCGTGAACGGTGATGAAAGAGAAAAGACTACAAAATCTGTGAATTACTGTTCGTGTTTTTTTAGTCCAGTTATTTGTTCACTTTTCTTCCACAGTTCAGTTGCCAGATGTTCATCTTTTGCTAAAGCACTGCACTCTGTCATCTTACAGTCCTTGAAGTATTTTCCAGTCACATCTTTTAGTTCCTCGGCCACTGCACAGTACACAGAGGTCTGGGCTCCAGCATTTGTTGTTTTGAAAAAGAAAAAGCTTACAATCCAGAGAATTGGCCGAAAAATCCACATCCTTGCAATGCGGAAGTGTCTCACTATTTCGGTATCTACAACTTATTTAATAAGGCATATAGAAAATTCAAATAACAATTGACGTGTAATAACAGCGATATGTATCGACAAACACAAATTGCTTTCTGATTTTCCTGATAAACTGCATTTTGTATCTTCCGTTGTGAAATGACGTTAGTTTGCAAAGATTTCACACATTGCTTGTTTCCAGACTTATTACAAAAAGAAAATGAGTTGAGAACGCTTAAATGGCGAAACTTAATGCCCTTTTTTCATGTTTACTTGTTAAAATCTCGAAAATAAAACCCCGCGAAATACTGTCGCGCCAAAATCGCGAAATTAAGTACCAATAAGGTAGCAGGCGTCGAAAATGGTATCACACAGGCTTTTCATTTGGTAGCAGCCAGCGCGCATACGCCTCAACAAAGAAAATAGGGGCATTTACTTCGTGCACCGGAGAAAACATAGAGGTCTTTCGTTTTACGTCATTTGTGTCCGGCACACGAAGTAAAAGCGCAATTAGGAGAGATTTGCATGCAGGCTAGTTATTTGACCAACTTTGAGAACTGGAATTAGCTGTCTAAGCACCGAAAACTCTAAGTTACAAAAATTTGAAAGCACAATTTTTAAGTTGCCCTTTAAATCGAAGATCAAGCATGTCGCTCTCAACCTTTTTCTTCATGCAAATTTACCCTGTAATTTTCTTTTTCGATTCTGAGAAATGAGAAATGATGCAATGTACTTCATTATTTACGAAACGCTTTTAATCCTTACTTCACATTCGCTTTCAGAACGCGGTATATTACTCCTTGTACACTAAGTATCACTTATTCATTTGAATGACTGTGACAAGTTCACTTCAGTTACCTTTTGTTATCAGTTTATTGTGATCACACAACAAAAAAAATCAATGGGTTTATGCGCCCTTATGGATTTTTATCTTCTGAAAAACTAGCAATCTACATAGAGACGAGACATCTCTTAATATATAATGGGCAGCGCTTGTGACAAGTTCAGTGCTTTATTAGCTTTTATTACTGAACCAAGATGTAACCCATAGTCTTGATGTGCTTGTCTCCATTGTCTGGTGACCATGCAGCGTCATTCCCACATGTATTGCTGTTATCGGGGGTTCCCCCAGTGCCAAACCCGATCCTGGAGTCACACCCGACACAATCATTGACCTCATTACTGGTGATACCAATTCTTGCTTTAGAATTTCGTTTAGAGCTGCAGATAGCATTAAACCCTTCCTTGTTACAGTTGGTCTGTAAGGAGGCCTGTGAACCAATCAGCGTCTTCCACTTGTTACGACCCAGTGAGGTGGCGCGGTATTGGCCGTCAGCGATCAGAGAGTACAACGAAGTGGCGTACTTGTTGATAGTAACGAACCGTAATTGGTGGCCGATCTTCATACCCAGGCAGATCTTGGAGAAGGCTGTGTTCCAGTAGGTTGGCAACTTGGTCTCTTGTGAATCAAACCCGGTCCTTCCTCCTGCAATGTTGTATGTATTTTTGTTGCTCCAGAGGTGAGAATCATAATGAAAAGTTTTCTGAAAACGGAAATTAGAAAATTGATATCCATATCACAAACATGGAATGACGTGCTTGTAAGACGTGTACCTTTGTGCCGTCAATCTTCATGGCCAGCGTCCATCCTCCATCTCCGCATCCAAAGTCTCCCATGCGACAGTAAACAGGAATCGTTCGTGAACCAAACTTCAGTGTATACACTCGACTTGTCGTAAACCTGTTGGAGAAGAGATAATTTGACAGCCTAAAATATGTGTTCTTACTCTTTGCGAATCAACGTCAAGCAAAGCAATCCTGTCATTCATAGAACGTGACTAGAAGTCGTGGTCTAATTTCGAATTCTGTCAAATATTGAAAACGTAGTCAAATATCAAAACCAAGGCGTTCAGGTGTATCGATGCTTTGGGAATATAATTTGGACTAACGTCTAGTCTGCGACTCGAATTATCACTTTTTGTGAGCAAAGTTCGATTTTTCTTACTGGAAATCTTGATGCAAAATGTGTAATGATTTGGATTATTTAATCGTTTTGTCATCATGTTCTGCCATCTATTTGTAGATGAACATTTTTTTTACTCTGTGCGTCGCTGTTTTTTTTGTTAGGATGTTTCGATTTTTTCTACTACACGCTCGAATGGCTGGTAAAGGTGGGATGAAAACATGAATCACACAAATTTGAAAATACAGGAAAATAAGCATTGACTGAAATGAACTTACTTGTGTACATCGTACAGTTCCTTGCAAGAAGTGGACATGACTGAAAAAAAAACCTTGTTAGATTAAAAGGCAAAATTCACCGATATGTCAAACTTTCTAAAAATTACTATGAAGGACACTGTACCTGACAATAAAGTTTTGTTAGACTGTGCAATGATTATCTCCAGCTTCGACTCCACTCTCTTGAAGGCGTCCTGGCACGTCGCAGTGAGCTTTTCCAGCTTTGTTTCCAAGTTCTGTTGGAGCAATTTTTCCAGCTTTGTTTCCAGCTTGTTAGCGATGAGTTTTTCCAGCTTCGTTTCCATCTTCTTGAGGGCGTTGTCGCAGACTTCAGTCACATTCGGCGAAGGCTGTGTGCAGTCTGTTGGAAGAGGTGTTTGGTTATTGCGTAAGTTTGACGGTTTGGCGCCATTCGCGGCATATGATATTATAACAGAAAGTGCGAGAAAAACCAGCCAGCGCATCTTGAACCCGTTAAGCGTCTTCAATGAATACTTTGACTGAGTGTCTTTGAGGATTCGATGGTACTGAATTATTGGTAATCAACTTGCTTTTCATTTCCACTCATATCAGCTCTGAAGTTATTGTTAGTGAAACGAGAAAATTATCTTGCTGGAGCTTCGTGACTAATTTACTAATTATTCGTAAACTTGTCTGATTTCTGTGTAAACATTTCTAGGTCACAGCACTCAAGAAATGTAAAGTTACCGGCCTTTGGCAGCTTTGCTCAGTCAGTTTCAAACGTTTGGTAGCGCTATCTTCCCTTTAAATCACTATCCAGCGGCTAAGTATTAGAAAATCCAATTGCGCTATCCAGTGGATAGCGTTATCCTTTTGAACAACTGAGGCCTGCTCGATGACAGTTGTTCACGTGTGTGAAGTGAATGTAGGTAAATATTTGGTCGAATTCGACGTAAAACGCGAAAAGGGAAAGATCGCCACGAGAGTGGGAAAAGCAGATGGACTCACACCGAGCTTCTCCACGCGCGTTTTGCTACTCGCACGTGGAAGTTTTCAGCATTCATGGTTGTTTCCCTCGCTCAACAACTACTCTCCGAAAGAAAAACTGAAAACTGCTTGAAGCTTGCATTCGGATGTTTTTAACATCTTTGCCACTTGAGAAACAGTAGAAAATATAAGAGAAGTGATATATTGAAATTACTGAGGAAAGAGTGCCAGAAAAATTAATACCATTGTCACTACGCTACCACTTCCTTGTTGACCAAAATAAAACTAAAGAGACTGAACAGACCGGGAACATGATGAAAACGTCGTCTCGCTATAGGTATTCTAATTCTAATTCTACTAAATTCCAGAAAAATCGAGAAATTAATGACCCTCGAAAATAAATCCTCGCGAAATTTAATACCCAAAGGCATATAGGAAATTCAAATAACAATTGACATGTAATAACAACGATATGTATCGACAAACACAAATTGCTTTCTGGTTTTACTGGTAAGCTCCATTTTATATCGTCTGTTGTGAAATGACGTTAGTTTGCAAAGATTTCACACATTGCTTGTTCCAGTTTATCTGATTTTCTTAAAGGTTCAGACTTTTTACAAAAAGAAAATGAGTTGAGAACGCTTAAATCGCGAAATTTAATGCCCATTTTTCATGTTTACTTGTTAAAATCTCGAAAATAAAACCCCGCGAAATACTGTCGCGCCAAAATCGCGAAATTAAGTACCAATAAGGTAGCAGGCGTCGAAAGTGGTACCACACAACCTTTTCATTTGGTAGCAGCCAGCGCGCATACGCCTCCTATTTCTGCAACAAAGAAAATAGGGGCATTTACTTCGTGCACCGGAGAAAACATAGAGGTCTTTCGTTTTACGTCGTTTGTGTCCGGTACACGAAGTAAAAGCGGAATTAGGAGAGATTTGCATGCAGGCTAGTTATTTGACCAACTTTGAGAACTGGAATTAGCTGTCTAAGCACCGAATACTCTGACTTACAAAAATCTGAAAGCACAATTTTTAAGTTGCCCTTTAAATCGAAGATCAAGCATGTCGCCGTCTTAACCTTTTTCTTATGCAAATTTACCCTGTAATTTTCTTTTTCGATTCTGAGAAATGAGAAATGATGCAATGTACTTTATTATTTACGAAACGCTTTTAATCCTTACTTCACATTCGCTGTCAGAACGCGGTCCATTACTCCTTGTACACTAAGTATCACTTATTCATTTGAATGACAGTGACAAGTTCAATTCAGTTAGCTTTTCTTATCAGTTTATTGTGATCACGCAACAAAAAAAATCAATGGGTTTATGCGCCCTTATGGATTTTTATCTTCTGAACAACTAGCAATCTACATAGATAATGGGCAGCGCTTATGACAAGTTCAGTGCTTTATTAGCTTTTATTACTGAACCAAGATGTAACCCATAGTCTTGATGTGCTTGTCTCCATTGTCTGGTGAATAAGAAGCCTCATTCCCACATGTACTGCTGTTATTGGGGATTCCCCCAGTGCCAAACCCGATCCTGGAGTCACACGTGTGACAATCGTTGTTTTCATTACTGGTGATACCAATTCTTGCTTTAGAACATAGTTTACAGCCGCAGATAGCGTTAAACCCTTCCTTGTTACAGTTGGTCTGTAAGGAGGCCTGTGAACCAATCAGCGTCTTCCACTTGTTACGACCCAGTGAGGTGGCGCGGTATTGGCCGTCAGCGATCAGAGAGTACAACGAACTGGCGTACTTGTTGATAGTAACGAACCGTAATTGGTGGCCGATCTTCATACCGAGGCAGATCTTGGAGAAGGCTGTGTTCCAGTAGGTTGGCAACTTGGTCTCTTGTGAATCAAACCCGGTCCTTCCTCCGGCAAAGTTGTATGGCTTTTTGTCGCTCCAGAAGTGAGAATCGTAGTGAAAAGTTTTCTGAAAACGGAAATTAGAAAATTAATATCAATATCACAAACATGGGGTGACGCTTAAGAAATGTACCTTTGTGCCGTCAATCTTCATGGCCAGAGTCCATCCTCCATCTCCGCATCCAAAGTCTCCCATGTGACAGTAAACGGGGATCTTTTGCGAACCAAACTTCAGCGTATGCACACGACTTGTCGTAAAGCTATTGGAGAAGAAATCAGTGGATAGTCAAAAATATGTCGTCTATGAATGAACGTCAAACAATGTATTTTTACTTCGGCGGAGCGCGAAGTAAAGGTTTCGCGACGCTCAGGAATGTATCAAAGTTACAATTTTTTGACAAGATTGGGCATGAAAAGTCTGTAGGTTTTCGGTTTTATTCGGCTATTTGACGAAGTGAGAGCCGAGTTAATTCGAGATATCTCGAGATCACTTCGATTTCTTTTATCTATTCTTTGACTTTCTCGAGGAAGAAAGAATTATTATTTTGGCTTTCCCGGGGTTTGAACCGACTCACCTGTGTAACCCGTCAGATCAGAGGAGGCTCTAAGTTGAGGGATTAGCCGATTGCGCTACTGCGACCCAGGGTAGTTTGGGATATGAAAAATAGTTATGAAATGATGCACTAGTTTCGGGACAAGATTGGGCGTGCAAGCTCGTGACTTTTCGGCTTGTTTCAACTATTTCACGAAATGAGACCGGACTACTTCGTGATATCTTGAGATCACTTCGAGTTTAGTCTTTAATTAATCGAGGAATAAATAGAGGATATTTCGTGGCCGCGCAGAGAGACGAAATTTCTCTTCAAGTGTTGAAAAACATTTCACGAGTGAGCCCTCCTTTCGAACTGTTTTATGATGAATTTAAAGTTACAAAATGCTGCAAAAAGACATTTTGTCTTTGTTGAGTGTTACGTAGTAAAATTGCTTTCATGTGTTGCGTGACTTTCTCGAACGTTCTCTACGGTTTTGGATTAGCCATGAATAATTAATTAGGGCATGTTTACATTGCAGCATGAGTCAGCAGATTTGCATCAGTTACTGAAATCATAAAATATGTCGAAAAGCTACTACTATTCGCCTGCTGTTTAGTATTTTCTAGAACCTTATGTCAAACTGTATACAAGTTCCAAGCGAGTTCTTTTGAAGAACTAAGTTTTTTCCCACGCGTTGGACTGCTGTGTTTAGTCAAGTGTGACGAAGGTCGATTTTCAGGTATTGTGTTTACAAGTTCGCGGAAGCCGTAAGATATCTGAAGTTCAAGTGAGAGTTTGTTATTATTGGTAGAGGCTGTTTAGTTTTACTCAAAGTTCAAGTCAAGTTTGTGTTGGTAGATGCTGTGTTTTAAAGCTCTGTAAAAGCTATGTTCCTTTGGTGTTAAACTTCCTTGTGTTAATCCGACATCCCTGCGTGCTGATAGTCAGTGAATAATTATCCTCAAAACATTCAAACTTCTGACTTTGAGTTTTAGCCAATTCCATGCTCAACGTAATTGACTCCTTACCCGTGCCTTACATATCTTTTATCAAATCCCATAATTTCACAAATTAACACCTTACTCTTACCATATTTGATTTCTTACTATTCCTCCGCATTTACAATTAATTAGTCCCAAAAGCACGACGCCGAAGTGTACGCTCCGTAGCGTCTTGTTGTTATTCAAATGGAGGTGATCACAACCGTAGACTTAAAGTTGTGTTCTACTTCCGAGTGCTGTCAAGTAATTAAAAGTACATTAAATCGAAAACGGCTATAGGTATTCAAGTGCATTGATTCGTCCGGAATTCAAGACTAAAGGTAAACCGAAAACAAACAACACAACAAGTCGAAAATCGATTGCCTTTACGTCTAATGTGCGACTCTAATAATCTGATTATGTCCACTGAAGTGTTTGCTTTCAGTTTTTGTTTTTCAATTGAGCGCACAGTTCGATTTTTGTCACTGGATAATCACAAATTGTGTAATGATTTGGATTATTTAATCTTTTTGTCATCATTTTCTGATATCTATTTGTTAATTTTACTTTGATAACTCCGTTCGTCTCCATTTTTTGTTCCGATGATTCGATTTTTTGCATTAAAACTACATACTCGAATGCCTTTTAATAAAAAGCTGAAATGAAAACGTGGATTACACTGATTTTAACATGCAGCAAACTAAGCGTTGAATGGAATGATTACTTACTTGTGCATATCGAACAGTTCCTTGCAAGAGGAGGAAGAGGAAATGGCTGCAAAAAAAAAACGTGTATATATGAAACCCTAGTTAGATTATAAGACAAAATTCATCAATATGCCAAACTTTCTTTAGAAATACTTAGGTTGCTTTACCTGACAAGTAGGCCTTGTTGGTCAGTATTCTGATTTTTTCCAGCCTTGTTTCTAACTTCTTGAGGGCAGCGTCGCAGGTCGCGTTCAACGATTTGGTTTCAATTTCTGGATCTCCAGTCTTGTTTATTAGTACAGTAAGTCTTTCCAGCTTTGTTTCCAAATTCTGTTGGAGCAGTTTTTCCAGCTTCGTTTCCAGCGTTTTAATGATAAGTTTTTCCAGGTTCGTTTCCATCTTCTTGAGGGTGCTGTCGCAGTTATCGGTCTCGTTCGACGATGTCGTAGTCACAACGTCTGGAGGCGCAGTTTTGTTGATGAGTCCAATAAGTTTGTCCAGCTGTATTTTTGAATTCCTTTCGAGAAGTTTTTGTATTTTTGTATCCACATTCTGTGCAAGAATTTTATCCAGCTTCATTTCTAAATTTTTCACGGCACCGGAGAATTGAGAATCTTGATTCACCGTCAGGTTAGTCAGGTTACAGTTACAAACAGCCGGAGGCTTTTTGCCGTCTGTTGGAAGAGATGTTTGGTTATAGCGACCCAAGTTTGACGGTTTGGCGCCATTCACGGCATATGATATTATAATAGCCAGTGCGAGGAAAACCAACGAGCGCATGTTGAAACCGTTAAGCGTCTTCAACGAATACTTTGACTGAAGTGTCTGTGACGATTCGATGGTACTGGTTGCTGGTTACCAACTTGTTTTTCATTTCTTCTCATATCATATCAGCGCCGCAATATTGTCAGTGAAACGAGAGAATTATCTTGCTGGAGCTTCGTGACTAATTCACTAATTATTCGTAAACTCGTCTGCTTTCTGTGTACACATTTCTCTTCCTAAGTCACAGTACTTAAGAAATGTAGAGTTACCTCTGACGGCTTGCCTCAGTTGTTCAAACGTTGGGAGGCACTATCCACCGGATAATCACTATCCAACCGGTAAGTACAAGTGTATTAGGGAAAGAAATTGCACTATCCAGTGGATAGAGATGAATCCAGGGGCATTATCCACCTTTTGAACAACTGAGGCCTGCTTGAATACAGTTATTCACTGGCGTGAAGTGAATTTAGGTAAATATTTGCGGACGAATTTGAAGCTAAAATATTCATCATAAACGATCACTCAGTCTAAAGTAACAACTCTTTTCACTGTAATTAGTTTGCTTTAAGTATATCAGTTGAAATACTAAACCTATCACGGTATAATTTTTCGATTAGACTGCCAATTGAGTGTTTTACTGTGTCAAACTAACACGCGAAAAAGGGAAATATCGCCCAAAGAGAGGGAAGAACACCCAGCTTCTCCACGCTCGTCATGTTATGTACTCGCACGTGGCAGATTTTTAGAACACACGCGTGTCTCCTTTGCTTCACTTTACTTCTCTCCTTGCGAAAAACCAGAATACTTCTTGAAGCTTGCATTCAGATGCTTTTTAACATCTTTGCGTTGTGGGAAATAGAAGTGAGGAGAACTCATATAATTAAACTACTAAGGAACAAGTACCAGAATAATTTATACCATTGTCATTTCTCTACCACTTCCTTGTTGACAAAAATAGACTGTAAATGAGACTGGAACATCAAAACGTCGTCTCGCCATAGATGTTCTATAACTGCTGAATTCCAGAGTTGAATTCACATCTTAGATCAGTAAATGCATGTAGATCCGGCTGCTTTTGAGATTGGTGTAAGATTTTGTTCGAAAAGTTTAATTTTTCAACTGTCTTCTGTTGATCTTTAAGCTCTGATTTCGATCAAAAGCACACATTTCCCTTCGGCTGAGTAAATATTGGTCCAAAATATTTTCTGATAATTGTCGGGAGTTTCATCTTCGACTGGAAAATTGCCTGCCGTGTTTATTTTCCTTTTCAAGTGTTTAAGACAATTACTTTTGTTTCTCTTTAGTAATTAGGGAGTTTAAGCAGAAACGGTTTTGAGCGACGCCCTTCAGCCAGAAGTGAGCCTTTTTCTTTTTGAAAAAATATGCCTTCACGCTATTAAATTTGTATTGCTAAGTGCCTTTATTCTTATAGATTCGCTTTAATTTGCTCGAAAATTTGTGCAAAACCACGTCCTTAGAATGCAAAACTTCCACTTTTGGTTGACGTGAGGCGCTCAAAAACGTCTTTGCTAAAGCTTCCTATTATTTTAGCCTTATTACGTAGACTATGTTTACAGCTCGCTGAAAGAAGCTGAAAGAAGCTGCCTTAAGTAACCTAATTGTCACTAATGTGCAGGCGTTAAATATACGTCTTAAGAAAAAGTTAGTCTTGTCGAAAATTTCGCCTCAGTCCTCTCGGAATGAGTTTTCTATCGCACACATGTGTTTTGATCGCTCTACTTTCCCCGAGGAAAATAAGGGACTAGTTAAAGGCCGCTCTTTATAAAGTGGAACCTCACCTATGGTTAACAGGGGCCCGTTTCTCCAAAGTCCCGGTAACTTTTCCGGCCCGAAATCAAATATTCAAATCGAAATAAAAATAATTAAAGCGCGGGTCCTGGCTAGCAAAATATCCCATTAATTATCGGAACTTTCGAGAAACGGGCCCCTGGACCCGAAATGCGTCCCGCAATGGTTTCTGGGATCGTTAGTAGGGAGGCGCCCGTCAGCCATTGGCCAATTTTTTCCAGTCCCAAGTAACAGTCACAGAAGTCTCGGCCCAGTTCCTTTCTCGTTTTTTGAGTGTCGAATTTATAAACAAACTGCGGGCCTATAACATGAGTCAGGGCATGGAAATGTGTGGGAGCTAAAATCTGTGACGCTCACGGTGCTTTAGTCCGTCGGAAGTGGTCGATAGCTACAGAGCCTAAAATCTGACACCAGTAAGGTTCGCAAACTCGTGTAAAGGGTTATTCTCTTAAGACATCATCAAGGTGTTCCCTGTCCTTGTTCACTTATCTCGAATTGAGGTCGCTCAACAAAGTTTTGCGGGCGGTCAGCGGTAACTCGCGTGGCGGCGCTTGTTTTAAATTAGACAAACAAACATGGCAGCAAAAAAGCAATGGAACACAGAAGACGATTTCTCAAAATCTACTCATTTATCGTATTTTAAATAATGAGAACATTAAAATGGAAGTTGAACAGACAAATTTTGTGACACATTCAATAATTACAGTACAATTATATTATTGCTTATGTAAAAACCCGTCTCTTAAAATTTGGTCAAATAAGTTTCAAATGGTAATGATTAATTATAGTAAGCTGTGTGCAAGTTTATAGGTAAATCTAATGAGCGAATTTTATGTAAACTGAGCAAAACTGAAATTTTAAGGTTGTATTCAGTAGTTCATGTTGCCATGGAAACTACGAAAACGTCACATTATCTTTCATCTGTATATTTGTCACTTGTCAGCTTGTGAGCTGCAACCTATCTCTTGCCATGATTTGGCAAATGAGATACACTCACAAACTGCCAAAACTGTGTTCAGCCGCCTTAAAGAGAGGCTGGAAAGTAAACTAAGAGAATTCGCCTGACAGTCCCAGAAACGTGCGCGTTTTTCTTCAATTTATCCAAAAATTAACGAAGTGAAGTATTTTGTGTATTAGTGTTCAGCAAAATCAATTTCAGGCATCTTTGCAGTCACAGGAAGTTAGCTGGTTTGGCTCAACTCGTACATGACTCTAGCCTACGAGTAGTCCTGTATCTCAGGCCTAGGAGGGCGAGCGTGCACGAAAATCCCCCCCCGAGGAAAGGCGACACGCATAAGGAAGAGAGGAAATAACAAAGGCTCCCTTATTTGGTGTTTCTTGCTGATGGGAAAAATATTGATGGTTCGCTTTTTTGTGTGGGTATTGTTGTTCGGTGTCTTTCCAACGCGTCCACAGATTTTTTTTGATCTGCTATTTTCTCCTTCTTCATCTACGAAAGGTCACCGGAAATATCTACAATTTATTTTGTTCGTCAGTTGAGGATATTTAATTATAAAATTGTGCAAAAGCGTTTCCGACAGCAGGAATGGCTGGTAGGCGGCCTTCTGTGCAGAAGGTCCCGAGTTCCATTCCCAGTTGGTGACCACAAATCCATCTTTCGACCTTCTTTCCCCAGTTCCGTGTAGCTTTAAATACCGGTAACGGAGATTGAGGGGCCGGGGAAGGGGTAAACTAAGCACACCTTCGGCCTCAGGTTTGTTTGGCAGATAACTATTTCGAGCTACCGACGAAAAAAAAAGGACTCTTTACCTTTTCCCTTTTCCCTGTATTTGAAGAAAACTCCAGGGTTTCGACAGCACCGAATCGCTTTCAACCCTTTAATTGTTTGATACTTTACAAAGCCTGCTCTGTTAGACTTTTGATCCTCAAGGTAATCTGTCATCACGAGGATCTGATTTAGTGCACCATAACAGAAGTCTTTCTTATTCATATCAAATTAAAAGAGCAATGAATTTTATTGTTCCCCACTTTATTTAGAATAGAAGGCAATCTTTACAAGATCATCTAACCTGAGTGGCACCTATGTCCCACTATGGATTTTGTTTCTTCTGAGAGAAAACTTGAGCTAAACTAACCGAATAAAATTTTAATGCTCATGGGAAAGTTCCGGATTCTTTACTACTGAACCAAGATGTAGCCCATGGTTTTGATGTGCTTGTTTCCGTTGTCTGGGGAAATTGTGGCCTCATTTCCACACGTGTTTGTGTCGTCATGATATCCTCCTGTACCAAATCCGATTCTGGAGTCACACAAGACACAATCGTTCCATTCATTGCTTGTGATACCAATTCTTGCTTTGGAATGTGGTTTATCGCTGCAGATAGCATTGAACCCTTCCTTGTTACAGTATTTTTGTAAGGATGCCTGTGGACCAATCAGCGACTTCCACGTGTTACGACCAAGTGAGGTGGCGCGGTATCGGCCGTCAGCGATTAGCGAGTACAGCGAGATGGCGTGCCTGTAGATGGTAAAGAATCTTATCTTGTGGCCGATCTTCATACCGAGGCAGATCTTGGAGAAGGGTGTGTTCCAGTAGGTTGGCAACTTGGTTTCTTGTGAATCAAACCCAGTCCTTCCCCCCGCAAAGTTGAGTGGCTTTCTGTCGCTCCAGAAGTGAGAATCGTAATGAAAAGTTTTCTGAAAACGGAAATTAGAAAATTAATATCAATATCACAAAAATGGGGTGACGCGTAAGACATGTACCTTTGTGCCGTCAATCTTCATGGCCAGAGTCCATCCTCCATCTCCGCATCCAAAGTCTCCCATGTGACAGTACACGTGGATCTTTTGTGAACCAAACTTCAGGGTATATACACGACTTGTCTTTAACCTGTTGGCGAAGAATTCAGTTGATAGCCAAACATATGAGTTCTTGATCCTTGTGAATAAACGTCAAACAATGTAATTCTGTCATTCAAATGGAACGAACAGACTTAAAGTTGTTTTCTACTCCCGAATGCTGTCAAGTAATTGAAAGTACCTTTATAAATCGTGGAAACAAGGCATTCAAGTGCATCGAGTCGTGGCGAATTGCAGAATAAAGGCAAACCGAAAACAAACAACATTCGAATCGAAAATCGGTTGGCTGTTCGTCTAGTGTGCGACTCTAATAATCTGACTACGTCCATTGAAGTGTTTTTTTTTTTTTTTGCCTTTTGTTTTTTAGTTGCACGCACAGTTTGATTTTTCTCACTAGATGTAATAATTTTGTAATGATTTGGATTATTTAATCTTTTTGTCATTATGTTCTGGTCTCTATTTGTAAATTTTACATTGTTCGCCGGTCTTTTTCGCATTAATACTACATACTCGAATGTCTTTTTAATGAAAAGCTGAAGTAAAAACGTAAATCACACTAATTTTAATATGCAGCAAAATAAAGCCTTGTCTGGAATGATTACTTACTTGTGCATATCGAACAGTTCCTTGCAAGAGGAAGCAGAGAAAATGCAAAAAAAAAAAAAAAAACGTGTAAATATGAAAAGCGCCAGTTAGATTGTAATACAAAATTCACCTATATGCCAAACTTTCTTTAGAAATACTTAGGTCACTCTACCTTACAAATTACCTTTGTGGGTCAGTTCTCTGATTTTTTCCAGCTTCGTTTCTATTTTCTTGAGAGCAGCGTCGAAGGTACCGTTCAACAATTGGCGAACAATTTCTGGATCGGCGGTCTTGTTTATTAGTGTAGTAAGCCTTTCCAGCCGCTTTGTTTCCAAGTTCTGTTGGAGCAGTTTTTGCAGCTTTGTTTCCAGCTTGTTAACGATGAGTTTTTCTAGCTTCGTTTCCATCTTCTTGAGGGCGTTGTCGCAGATTTCGGTTTCGTTCGACGATGTCGTGGTCACAGCGTCTGGAGTGGCAGATTTGTTGATCAGGCCAATAAGTTTTTCCAGCTGTTTTTTCGAATTCTTTTCGAGGTTTTCCACTTTTTTATCTAAATTTTGTGCGACGAGTTTATCCAGCTTCACTTCTAAAGTTTTCATGGCACCGGAGACTTGAGAATCTTGATTCACCGTCAGATTACAGTTACAAACAGCCGGGGGCTTTTTGCAGTCTGTTGAAATAGGTGTTTGGTTATAGCGGCCCAATTTTGACGGTTTGGCGCCATTCACGCCATATGTGATTACGGCCAGTGCGAGGAAAACCAGCGAGCGCATGTTGAATAAAGCGTCTTCAATGACTACTTTGACTCAAGTGTCCGTGACGATTCGATAGTAGAAATTACTAGTAGCCAACTTGTTTTTCAGTTCCAGTCGTATCATATGAGCACCGAAGTTATTGTTAGTGAAACGAGAAAATTATCTTGCTGGAACTCCGTGACAGACTAGTTCACTAATTAATTATTCGTAAACTCGTCAGTTTTCTGTGTAAACATTTCTCTTTTTATGTCACAGCAGTTAAGAAATGTAGAGAAACCTTTGACAGCTTACCCAAGTTGTTAAAATGTTGGGAAGCGCTATCCACTAACTATGATAACTACTTAGGGAAACCAATTGCGCTAGTTAGTAGATAAAGATTTAGAGAGTTACATCCAGTGGCGTTATCCGCGTCTTAAATAACTGAGGCCTGCTTGATAACAGTTATTCACCGGCGCAAAGTGAATTTAGGTAATTATTTGCGGACGAATTTGACGTAAAATATTCATTATTAACGATCACACAGTCTGAAGTAACTGGACTTCAGTTAAAATAATAAACTTATGGCAGTATAATTTTTCGATTAGATTGCCAATTGAGTGTCCTACCCTTTCCAAACAACACACGGAAAAGGGAAAGATTACCAGGGGAGAGGGAGAAACAGAGGGATTCCTACTCATCTTCTCGACGCGCGTCATGCGTTTTTCCCTTGCTCTACTACTAATCTTCGTGAGAAAAGCAGAAGACTACTTGAAGCTTGCATTCGGATGTTTTTAACATCTAAATGCCATGTGAAAATAGAAGAATAATTGACACCATCTTCACTTCGCTACCACTTCCTTCTTGACAAAATATAACAATATAAGCTGCAACATCGAAACGAGGTCTCGCTGTAAGTATTCTATGATTGCTGAATTTCAGAGTTAAATTTACTTCATGGAGAAGTAAATATAAATCCGGCTGCTTTTGAGCTGGGTGTATGATTTTGTTCGAAAAATGTAATAGGGACCTTAAGCAACTACGACGAATTTGCGTCCTTTCAAACTCTATCGTGTCTATTTGGAACCGCTCAATTCGTCAAATGTAGGCGACTTTTCCCGGAGTTGAATTCTTAAGGGCTTTATCCCTGTTCAAATAAAGAAAGGAGAACTTGTCGTCGTATGTCCACGTCCTCCATAAAACGTCGCATTGGGAGTCGTAGTCGTAGTCGTATAATGGACGTTAAGCTAAGGAAATGTACAAAAAAGCGTGATGCACGAGCAGAGCTGTTGTTTTACTCATAAAACCAATTGTTTGTTTTTTTTTTTGGCGTTGTCGTTGTCCTCGTCGTCGTCGTCGTCGTCGTCGTCGTAATTGCTTAAGGTCTCTAATGTGGCAACTGTCTTCTGTTATCTTTCCGCTCCAACGATGATCAAAAGCACAGCAAATATTGGCCCAAAATATTTTCTGACAATTGCTTGGGAGTTTTATCTTCGACTGGAGAATTACCTGTCGTGTTTATTCTTCTTTTCAACTGTTTAAGACAATTATTTTCTTCCTCTTCAGCAAGTAGGGAGCTTAAACAAAGCCGTTGTTGTGCAAAGCACGTCAACCGGAAGTGATTCCGCTACCAAATTTGTATTGCTTATTGTAGCTTGCGAGCAAGCTCTCCATTTGGGGGATATCGTGAAAAGTACAACCGTCTCTCATAAAATTTCATTTCCACCCCCGGAAACCCCGGGACATTGTAAAGGGTGAAAATTGTCACCACAGACATGCCGCAAATTAGAAAACTGACAAGCGCCTGTCAAAGTTAGATAGCCGAGCGTGCGTAATTTGTTTTCGGGTCAGACAAAATGGCGGACAATTTGAGTGAGTTGGATGATTGTATTTCTGATGTTTTGAAGAAGTTCCAATTGGTCTCGGGCTTGCAGTTCAAACTCCGACAGGAACAAGTTATTGCTGTTAAAACTTTACTTTCGAATCGAGATGTTTTTGCAGTTCTTCCAACGGGTTATGGGAAAAGTTTGATATTTCAGTGTTTCGTTGTCGCAAAAGAACTGCTCGAAGCGAAGAGTGGCCACGGCACTCCAAAGTCTCCGTGTGCACTCGTTATTTGTCCTCTAGCGAGTATAATCCTGCTCAGTGGACTTCGATCGGGCGGGGAAACCGACGTTGGAAGGCAGCGCTTGAATCTCTCTTCGCTCGAATCACTGTTCTCGTTGTCGGAATTAATCAAGGCGCTTGAAACAAAGGAAAACAACTGGTGAAGGTTTCTGATCTTCCTTCCACAGGAACTACACACTCGATCCGACTTATCCTCGCAATATTTTACTGGCAAGCCAACACTTTCACACAGCTTTGCCAGAATAACACCAAACGAGCCCTTCTGCTTTGAGGGCTGAAACTAGTTCTCGCATGAGGGGCCTGAGATCCAAATTTCCAAATTTGACTTTAAATGAACAACCACACAGACGACAGTTGTCTCTTACAGAAGGAGAAAACGATTTTCTTCCTCTGCCGGTTTTCTTTTTCGGAGTGAGCTCCGCGATCGCTGACATAACACGGGTTTTTGGCGAAAAGAGCATCGTGTTTCTACATTTCCCGCGAAAATTTAGGGCATGCCGGCTAGGCCTGTTATCACTCAGCTTTAATTTCCGGAACGTCATTTTTCAGCCAATGGTATTTCCCTTCGTCTGGGCTAAGTACAAATGAAAATTTGTAAGGGATGGTTGCAAGCTCTCCTTTCGCCGGCCCCTCGCGGCTTCGCTGCTCGCTCGCGCGTTCTCGCGCGGCTCGCTTCGCTCGACCAAATAGGAGAGCTTGCTCGCAGGCCATGCTTATTGTCCTTATTCTTACAGAGACGGTTTCCCCAAAATTTGGCTAAAACACTGCCTAAGAAGGCAAAAAGTCCACTTGTAGTTGGTTAAGCTCCCTAATATTATAGCCTGATGACCTAGACTATGTTTTTTGGCGCTGCCTTCTCTGTAAAAAACCGAAAGAAGCCCAGAGAAGGGTTAACAAGTTAAGAACAACCCGGCCGATTGTGACTTTAAAATGAGTCAGCCTTAAATACACGTCTTTAAGAAATGTTTTGTCGAACACTTCGACTCAGCCCTCTCGGGAGAAGTTTTCACGTAATCGCGCACGTGTGTTTTGTTCGCTCTAGTACTCTACTCAGTCCCTGAGGAAAATAAGGGACCAGTTAACTTTAGCGGAGTTGGTGCATAAGAAACAGAACTGCTCTTAATACAAAGGAACCTCGTTCAACGACCACTGTGCTCATACAACCACCTTAGTATTAAGACCACATTCTTTCGACCCAAACGTAAAAAAAATGGAGTCATTTTTGTTATTTTCAAAACGAGCTCCTCTTTGGTACTCCCAGGATGTTTCATTGTCCAACTGTGGTCGCATTAACGGTTCTCTACTGTCTAGCTCGCTAATCTGCACGCGGTATATTTTTATAACCATTTTGACAGAGATTGTTGTCGCAGCAACTTACAACATCAGAGAGATTAAGATCACGTTTACGCCAAACGGCAAACGTAAATTTGTACCACGTGACCAAGTTTTCCCCTTATTTTTCGTTTACTGTTTATTGCTTCTACACAAAAATAAGTAGTTTTATGCCAGTTTTGTCCACAAGAATCGTTCTGGACCGTTTTTATCTGCTTATTTTCTATTCTGAGAAATTCTCAACTGACGTTTGCCGTTTGCCGTAAACGTGAATCTTAATCTGTCTTATTTAATCTAAACTAACTGCGCGCCTATAACGCGAGTCAGGGTATTGAAATGTGCGGAGGCCAAAATTTGTGACGCACAGAGGTGCTTAGTCCGTCGGGAGCGGGTAAACTAAGCACACCTTTGGCCTCAGGTTTGTTTGGCAGATAACTATTTCGAGCTACCGACTTAAAATAAGGACTCTTTACCTTTTTCCCTGTATTTGAAGAAAACTCAAGGGTTTGGATGGCACCGGATCGCTTGCAACTCTTTAATTGTTTGATCCTTTTCAAAGCCTGCTCTGTTAGACTTTTTATCCTCAAGGTAATCTGTCATCACGAGGATCTGATTTAGTGCGCCATAACAGAAGTCTCTCTTATTCATATCAAACTAAAACAACCATGAATTTAATTGTTCCCCACTTTATTTAGAATATAAGGCAATCTTTACAAGATCATCTAACCTAAGTGGCACCTATGTCCTACTGTGAATTTTGTTTCTTCTGAGAGAAAACTTGAGGTAAACTAACCGACTAAAATTTTAATGCTCATTGGAAAGTTCTGGGTTCTTTACTACTGAACCAAGATGTAGCCCATGGTTTTGATGTGCTTGTTTCCGTTGTCTGGGGAAATTGTGGCCTCATTTCCACACGTGTTTGTGTCGTCATAAAGTCCTCCTGTACCAAATCCGATTCTGGAGTCACACCAGACACAATCGTTCACTTCATTGCTTGTGATACCAATTCTTGCCTTGGAATGTGGTTTATCGCTGCAGATAGCATTGAACCCTTCCTTGTTACAGTATTTTTGTAAGGATGCCTGTGGACCAATCAGCGACTTCCACGTGATTCGATCCAGTGAGGTGGCGCGGTATAGGCCGTCAGCGATCAGCGAGTACAGCGAGTTGGCGTGCCTGTAGATGGTAAAGAATCTTATCTTGTGGCCGATCTTCATACCGAGGCAGATCTTGGAGAAGGGTGTTTTCCAGTAGCTCGGCAGCTTAGTCTCTTGTGAATCAAACCCAGTTCTCCCTCCTGCAATGTTGTATGGCCCGGAGTTTTTGTCGCTCCAGAGATGAGAATCGTAGTGGAAAGTTTTCTGCAAACGAGAATCATAAAATAAATATTCATATCACAGTTAGGTGATAAGCTGAAAGCCTTGTACCTTAGTGCCGTCAATCTTCATGACCAGCGTCCATCCTCCATCTCCGCACTCCCATGTGACAGTAAACAGAAAACTTGTGTGAATCAAACTTCAGCGTATACACTCGGCTGAAAGTTAACCTGATGGAGAAAAATTTAAGCGACAAAAATAAACAGTCCTCTTCATCTTTGTCAATAAATGTCAAGCGAGAAACATCGTCTCGTCCCAATTCAAGATGCTCACTAAAAAAGAAACAGACAAGGGGTTTTGTCCTACTAAAAAAGTAAAGGAATTGCAGCAAAAGATAGGTATTTGTAACATGCATGTGATGCATCAAAAAACCGATCAGTAAACTTACCCGTGATTATCATACAGTTCCTTGCAAGAGGAGGCGGGAACGACTAGAAGGAAAATTAATATTTCCGGTAAGGTTAGGGATAAAATTCACTTTAAGCCAAAACTTTATGTTGAAATATTTTAGGTCGACTTTTTACCCGGCGAGGAAGTCTTGCTGATTAGTGCAGTTAGATTTTCCAACTTTCCCCCCAAGTTCTGTGCAAGCTTGTCAAGTTTGTTTTCCAACTTCTTGATGGCATTACAAGCTGCATTGGGCGAGTTCGACAATTTTGCAGCATTCGCGACAACTGATAGTATGGCAATATGGGCGAGAAAAACCAAGAACGAACGCATTTTGGAAATTAGCTTGTGTCTTTTGTTTCGGCAACGAGTCGTTTGGCTTACTATAATCTCCTAATACTGACACCCGCAGGAGTTGGTAACAATAAGATATTATTAACAAAAGATAGACAGAAAAATTATCTCGTCCGCATAGCCGCGTCATGAATTTGTGAAGTTCATTTTTCACTTTATAATTTAGTTAGCGTACTAATCTGCTTTGTCTTGAAGTGTTTTCTGTTGTACACATTTCCTAAATCCTTAGGTTTCGCAAATTTAAAGAACGGCTTTATATTTGACAGCTTTGCGCCAAATATAAAGGCAAATTGGACGGACAAAAGGCTGAATAATAATTGAGAGTCGGCATAAGAATCGCTCAGCAAAAGGCGAATATACAGTTTGGATTCATTTTCTACCTGTCTTTTCTTTCCTAGTCCGCAGTCGCTTACAGAGGAAGAACCGCTCACAATCCGAAAATACATTGCATCAGAGAAAATTCAAGAACGCTTGAAAACAAATCTCAATTTAAAATTGTAGACTGAAAAAAAAATCTAACAAACTTCTGGAGTCAAAACAATCAAATTAATATCGATTATGCAAATTTTTTCCAAAGGTAATGTTCCGGTTTGATAGTTAGCATATTATCCTGACAGATATCAGTTATCCATCGTGGTGGTTTGTATGTGATTAGGTTCCCCTAACATTGACTCGTACCCAAGTTGTCTCTACTCATTAATTATTTACTAGGGAAGCGCTTGGGTTACGCGCGCGGGGAAGATGGGAAGGCGAGAGGAGGGGAGACGACTGGCAGGCAGATCCCGTTTCCAATATTGCGAACAAAATAAAGGCGGATGTCAATGAAGACCGAAATCTTCAAAATAGGCCTCTCCATCACGCGTATTTTTAAGCTGTTAATTGCCTTGTAAATTGTCTCTCCCTTCTCCCTTCTTCCTTCCCGTCATCCCCCTCGTTAAAGAGCCCGTTATAGTCTTCCACGCCAAATACTAATAATGAGAGACGACTGGGGACGAGTGAGCCCTTAACATCCCCTCTCATCCGATGGTCAGTTCAGTATTGATTTAGCCCGGGAAAAAGCTCTCAATTTCGAGGGGCGCGTAAAGCGAGCCGCGAGAAAAAGCGCGAACGAACGGCAAGTTCGCATCTTATTTCTAGTGCTACTGGCCTGCTTGCGTGACTTCTCACAATATCTCCAGAGAGCCCCGACCAGTTCAATCGATAAAAACCGATATCGGAAAACGATAAGTATTTAAAGAAAATCGATTTTATCGATCAATCGATAGAAATCGATACTCAGAACCATCGCTGCTCTTTTAAGGTATTGAATTTATCGATTTAGCGATTTTATCTTTTTCATTAAGGACTGTGTACTCGTTGACACTTAATTGTAAATGCAAAAGACATGTTCTTCCCGAGACAGCGTTTAGGAAACAAGCTGTGTTTTTGCCGATGCCGATGCGTTTAATAAGGGGCTTACATCGATACAATTAACTAATTTTCATCAAGTTGTTCAATTGTTATCGATTATCGGTTTTATCGATTGAACTAGTCGGGAGAGAGCTCAAGCTTGCTTACGGACCTGCCTCGTACCCAAGCGCGTCTTGTTTCTGCGGTAGTCGCGGCGTAAGGTGTCTTCCCTGGTGCCTTTGCGTTACTTTCCCATGATTCTTGCGCTGCCACTACTGAATTTTTTCAGGCTTTCAGTTCATAATTATTTATTTTTGTCAGTCTATTCAAACCCCTCCTTCCGAAAACCATTGTCAACCTATAGCTGTCGAAGCCGAGAGTTTTTAAACCTCAATCACGATTGCGAGTTTTGCGAGTACTTTATGTTCGGTTGTGCTACTCTGATTACCGTAAATCCTTAGACTAGTCCCCAGTCGTCTCTCATTATTAGTATTTGGCGTGGAAGACTAGAATAGGCTCTTTAACGAAGGTGATGACGGGAAGGAAGAAGGGAGAGACTCTCGCCTTCCCATCTTGCCCGCCCGCATAACCCAAGCGCTTCCCTATGAAATGATTGATGAGTAGAGACAACTTGAGACGCCTGGGGACGAGTCAGGTAAATCCTCTATTAAGCTCCCCAGGGGCTTATTTTTTCCAAGCACTTTTGAGAAGGGGCCTAATAGAGAGGGGGACCTAGAGCAAGGTTTCTCTAGGACGGACTTGTAATTTCCGGGCGTTATACTACTTTTTTTAGCAATAACAAAATGGTAACAATTCTCCAAAGAGAACTAGAGCGTAAAGTTGAAAAAGGTTAAGCACTTGAAGTTGGAGGTCATGCACCCGAAGACCAAAAACAATATGAATGAATTTCTAGCCTGAATAAACCACAACTGATCAGTCCACTTTAATTTTTTGTGAAGAATAAGGATGGAGAGGAGGGGGAGGGGGAGCTTATTCTGAAATTTCCTCCTCTGCAAAGAGGGGAGCTTATTAGGGAGGGAAGGGCTTAATAGAGGATTTACGGTAATACGCGCAGTAACTCGCCAATGAATTATTTATCCTCTAGGTATGAAAAGGACAGATTTGTACAAGAGGTGCACACAGACTATGTAGTGTGGGAAGAAACAGGAAGGGCAGATTATCGTTACACAGCAACTATGACAGAGGTGCGCGCGAGAGACGAACTTGCTGTGATAATTGAGAATGGTCAGATTTACTCATGTGTATTAGAAAGTTTCACTGAATGCGAGGGGCTGCCACGAGATTCTCGCTGTTTTAGGTCAATTCTGTGGTGAAGTCATTACCAAGTGTCTTTGCCCATACACAAAATGCTCCTGTAAAGTTATGAAGAAGATATCATAAAATTTCACCAGAGAGCACTAAACCATAAAGTTTTTGGGGGTAATTCAGTTTGCAGGAATAGCATTAAAACTTGAAAAAGTTTCAATCCATTTCCATCCTTGCCATCCGTTGCAACAGACGACAGGAAACGATTTCGTTGCCTAAATATAGTCTTAAATAACAAAACTGGGCCAGTATTTTTGGAAGTCCATTGATGCGAAGACAAATTTAGCTTTTTAAAAATATAGCGAATAGCGTGATATAGCCACTTCAACAAATCCACAAGGTTGACGATGGTTTTCGGCAGGAGGGGAAGCGAAGCAAAGTAAAAATGAAACAGATTATAGGAGAACTTATATACTTTCCTTGATTGCTGAGTTTGACTAGTTGTTAAATGAAATTAATACGACTAACGAAATCGGTCGGAACACATGTCCACTCAGTTTAGAGAAAGTTGGTAAAATCCTCCTCATTTGGTTTATTTTTCTTTGATAGGCTGGTTGTTTAAAAGAAGCTCAGTCATGGAGAAGAATGACCACAAATATCTCTGGAGAAACAACAAACCTCTGGACACAAAATGTTGGTTTTTCTTGTCCTATTTCTTTTCTTTTATTTCTTTTTTTAGAGCTACAGTAAAAAACCCCAAGTAAGAACCTACATTTTCCTGGTTAACATAAATTTAGGCTATCTAGGTTCTTAATAGGTTCTTAATTTCTTGCAAGAAATTATGTCGTTGCTAAGAAGATTTTAGTGATCAGCACCCTTAAGTTTGCATACCTAATGTTGCTTATATTTTAGTATGACCATAATAGAGATCTATTCTCACGTGAATTTTAATTTCTTGAGTCAAAACAACTTTATATACATGATTGTGCTCTAAAACACAATATTATAAACATTTTCTCAATGACCTCAATCAAACAACATATAAGAACCTTTCTCCAAATTTTAGGCTAAAGAGGTTCTTGTATAGAGGGGGTCTAAATTGCAAATTTTAGCCTAACAGGTTCTTAAATCTTAGGTTCTTACTCGTGGGTTTTTACTGTATCGTGTGCGGATGTCTAGTTGTTTGTTTAATTGTTTAAAACAGATGCCAATTCGTTTGTTAAATAGGAGATAAAGTAAAATCACTCCAAAAACAAAATCCTTTTTTCTCCGTTGCAACATCTTTCGTGCATAGACAGACATGTACACAAAAAAGAATTAAATTATTACCTAAATTGATTGCAGTAGTAGTGAGGTGAGTTGACTGACTGTGTCTGTCCCGCCAAGATCAAAGCACTAGCTGCCAGTGCGCTTTTGTGAAACTTGAATTAAGGAAAGGTAAAGATTTAATGTTGTTGTAGTTGTTGTTGTGTCAATTGAACAAACGTGACACCCTCTCTTATTCTTAAGAACTATCACAGCAGTTTCGAGCCAGACCCAAGTGATAAGAGCTTTGATGGAAGCCAGCCGTACGAGATTCTAAACTCATCCGGGATATTCCAGTTGGTGTTTCTTGGTTCTGGGTTATTCCGATTCCAACTCAGAGTTGTTGGTGCTCATTTTAGGTGAGTGATATTTCTAGCTAGAAAAAAAGGCCTGTACAAGTTTAAGGGATTTTTGAGCATGTTCCAGCCTCTTAGTTCGGGACGAGTGCTAAGCTAGCGAGCGTGCGAGAAAAACTTTGCGAAGAACGTGGAAAGACGTAGCCTGCGTTGTAGCTGGTGGGATTTGTCGCGCGCGACGGCTTCATTCCACAGGCGCTTTTGATTAGGCTAAAAGGCCGTGATAACAGTGGGGACGATTACAGTAGTGCTGTCCCTCTCGAAAATCCCTCGTACCACCAACAGCCCACCAGCAGGCTTGGAGAGAATCTGTTCGCTAACTAAAGCGTGGAGCAGCCTAGAGGTTTACATGTCTTTTAGTTGTCCCAAGTGTCGCTTGGGATTGAGCCCATGGCGGACTTAACCAACCAGGGGCGGCGGGGCTGTATTCAGAAAGCCATTAAGCCCGAACTTAACAAGAATTTGGTTCAAAATGAGCTTATGTAATGGCATTTTAACAGGGTGTAAAGTTGCACCTACACTACAAGAACCAATGTCTGTCGAACTAATGGGCATGCAAAATTGGCACACAATTCATTAGGAAAGTAATGTCGCTGGCAGCTTCTTGGTTTTTCCTGCAAATACGTCGTAGGATTCCCGTTTGTTTACTCTGATTACCTGCTGGGATTATATAGGTTAAGAACCCATTATTTTGGAGTATCTGCTATCAAATAATATCTAGTAAACAGTTTTCTCTTTGTTTGATTTCTTTTTTGTTTTGGTTTTGTTTTTTAATTCTGGAGACTAACTTTGTTTGTAGAATTTAACAAATACTAAGTACCTAGGTAGCCAAGTGGCTCCTTAGAAAATGCCCTAAAATGCCCTTTCTACAATTTGGGCTTAAAAGGAAAAAATAGGTGGCTACGCCCTTACCAACTGAGCCAAAACCTCTGGCGGCGGTACCTACAGCATAGCTTTGAGTTCTTTATCATTACTGATAAGTGCCTTTTTCCCTGATGTCTTTCTGTCTTTGTCATCTATATCCCTGCAGTTTTTGTGAACTTTCCACGCGGTTTTCCGTTGAAGTAACAAGCACTGATGAAGCGAAGGAATTCTTGCCGCAGCTTGTGTCTATTTTAGTGGTGACCCTTAGTAGCACTGTTCTACTGTACATCAGCTTTGCTCATTATACTAAAAAGACACTGCATCGACATCAGGAAGATGAGGAAGAACAACAAAGGCTGCAAGAACTCAGGTAAGAACAAAGTTTGAACCATATTTTTCCTTAGCCTACTATTCCAGGCATTCAGATAATAGGGAGGCCGCCAAAACAAGCCAAAGAAACATAAGACGCACGTGATCTCCTCCCTCCCCAACCCAGGGCACGTCAGTTTTCGCATGAGGTTTCACAATCCCTGTACATTACTATCGTGGAATCTGGAACGGGCGAATTTTTCCTCGACTAAATGATGTGCCAATTTTAAGATATTTCCTCTAGTGCCAGTTTTCCTAGTGGGGCATGTCTACTCTCGTACAGCACGCCGCTGCGACTTCTTAGGCACTTTCTCTATTTACCCTCCACGGAAAAGAAAAAAATAATCCTTCCTTATGGGAGATGGAGAGGCGTGAATTCGAATGTCAGTTATATTCTGGAAGCTCCCTGTTACAAGAAGGTTTCCTTTCAGGTGGGGTCTGTGGCTTGGGGCGGGGGGTGGTGTGGCTAGGCTGCGAACGAAAGGCATGTCGACAGGTCCTAAGATAATAAATCTATTAAATACATATACTCAATTCTACTTGTGTCGTGTCGCCACCTTCCACAGTACCTCCTAGATTTGAGCATATTTTCACACTTAGAATCGCCGGTTTCGCTTGGCAATTTCCTAGTTTTGAATAGGTTAAGTTCACCGCTTACTATGCCCGTTACCCTCTTACACATGTCTTGTGTTGCAGGAGCCTATTTTCCTCCTATCAGCAAGGAGCAGATGATGAAGGCCAGGCTCATCGACACTCCACAGGTCACAATGTTCGCCGCTTTACAGGAACAGCAATGCTCATGACCAATCGGCTGCCAGAGGAATGCCTGGTAGAGGAATCCCTCCAAGCGGCAGACATAGTCATAAACAGCTTACATACACAACCACCTCCACCAAGTGACCTCGACTGATCTACCACCTCCCCCTCCCCCTTATCCCCATCCCATCCCCTCTTACCGTTGTCGCATCTTACTGTTTTCAACACGAGTTACGTTTCGATAAGCCATAATGTGGCTACGGCGAAGTTTAAAACTGCCACAAATTTAGCTTTTCTAACCAGTACTATTTGCCAAAAAAAAAAAACGTAAATCGTTAATGCTGTTTTTGTATCACTTTTAATCAACTTAGGAGATCTTCATGCATTGTAACTTCATATATTAAACGTCTCTAAATCTTCTTGTTTGCTATCTGAGTTAGTTTTTCCTTCCTTATAATTTAAAATTAATCGCGCTTGTCACGTTAAATGAAAACTTTTATGTTCTTTTTGATCACCAAAAGAGCGTTGTGTCAGAAAGTTCAATTTACATTGAGCAGTGTTACATTACGCTATTTGATAAGAAAGTTCAATATTCTGGTAAGAGATGCAAAAACTGAAGAAAAAAATGCAACAGGTTTTATACCTACCGCAAACAACAGAGACCTTTAGATGACTTAGATTCGCAGACGACACGAGGACGAGACTAGTTTAACGTTTTCTCGCGTTTTCTAAAAAAGCCAGGTCAGAAAGTTTCATTTTTACATTTTTTTTTTCACCAGAAAATTTAACAGGTAACACGGTTATTATTAGTGAAGGAGGTTAAGCCCTTTCCCGATGACAAAATAAAACTTCAAATATTTGATAACTTGTTTCCACACTCACACATTTTCGCTAAAACCAGGAGCATGTGGTAAACAAAGTGTATTCGCATTGTTTCAAACTTCAGTGCCATCATTCCATCTCGTTCAGTTTGTCAAATGTTGACGAATTTTTCTAGAATTAAGTTTTAAAGGGCTGCTTCTAAGTTTGAAAAAGAAAATGAGACTCATCATGTCTTAAGTTCACGTTCTACATAAAACGTGAAAACAGGAAGTTTCACGTCGTAGCCGTGCAACAACGGGAAGGAAATGTACAAAAAAGTGTGATGCACGCGCAAAGTTGTTGTTTTGTTAATCCAAACCTATTGCTTTTTTGCCGTTCTCCTTGCCGTCGCCGTCGTCGTTGCTTAAGCTTCCTGTCACGCGTGCGCACTACTTATTATTAAAAAAATCTCGTCCTCGTGGTTGACCTGGTCTTAGAATCTACTAAGGTCTCTGTATTGGTAAAAATAGAAAGCCTCTCGAAGCCGTGAACGATGATGAAAGAGAAAGGACTACAAAATCTGTGAATTACTGTTCATGTTTTTTTAGTCCAGTTATTTGTTCACTTTTCTTCCACAGTTCAGTTGCCACCTGTTCATCTTTTGCTAAAGCACTGCACTCTGTCATCTTACAGTCCTTGAAGTATTTTCCAGTCACATCTTTTAGTTCCTCGGCCACTGCACAGTACACAGAGGTCTGGGCTCCAGAATTTGTTGATTTGAAAAAGAAATAGCTCACAATCCAGAGAATTGGCTGAAAAATCCACATCCTTGCAATGCGGAAGTGCCTCATTATTTCGGTGTCTACAACTCCTGGGTGAAGGGCATTCACTGTTACTCCTGTACCTGATGATGATGGGATAAAATAGGATAATCGCCTTTTTTATTGCAGACTTTAAAAATAGGATTCTGCTTGTACATAGTGAACCATGTTGCACTTGTAGAATAGTACGGTTGTTGAGTGTCATTGATTAACTTCCCAGTGCACTGTATGGGGTAGTTAGTGTTCACTTAACAGCTATATATCATGTTTTAATCCAATCGCCCTCAAGAAATTTTGCCCAAAAACACAGTTTACTGCGCTTTTCATAAACACGCGAACTCAACCAACTGACGTTTGCGTTTTTCTCTGCCGTCAATCATCTTGCTGCCCAGTAACGCGTTCACCAGTTGCGTGAGCACTGCACTTTTTTCTGTTTCTATTGCATATTTCCAGTTTCCGAAGTTTGGGCATACACAGGTCAAGGGAAAATTTCGACTTCTACCTTTCGGTTTCTCTCTTCCCTGCTTCTTTTGACTTTCTAACTGTTTTTTTTCCTTTTTGCTAGGCATTTACTAGGCTTAATTTTGGGGGAAAATAACTTATGGGAAACCTTTAGGATTATGAGATTAGTTTGAAGGTGGGTAGTGGAACAAGATTATTACTTCATTCTTGGATCAACTTTAAATGGTTTTGTGCATTATTCTCCGGCTTGTTTTGCAAATCATGTTCATTCCGTTATGAGTTGAAGGTTTCCACCCTTCTCAGGGGGGACGTGGTTAGATGTCAAAACTGCTGACATCACAGGATCCACAAGTGGGGGGGCGGTGGTTATGGGTGGGCAGTTTGGGATGGGCTAAACGGGTCCAATAGCTTAATAATAATAATGTTTTCTTGGTGGCTTACAACTAGTTTATACAAATATACCCTGCCGATTTACCTTGTAATCTCTTGCTTAACTCCAATGTGAAAAGAAGCTGGCACAGTTTGCTGATGTTATAGTCATGGAAATATCCCGGATGCCCTTGCTTTGTTTGAGAGAGGACTTTATCAACATCAATTTGCGATGACACCTGTGTGTGTTGCACAGAGGATACATTTATTATGCGGCTGGGTGAACTAACCTTCAGTTTATTCAACAAGAGGTTTGTCAGCAGAAAATGACCCAGATAGTTCACTTGAATAGTATTATCAAACCCATCAACTGTGGATGTGAAAGGCCCTAGGTAACCAGCATTGTTAATCAAAACGTCAACTCTTTCTTCTTGCTGATTAATTTCTTCTGCAAAATCTCGAACAGACTGGAATGAAGACAAGTCCAGCTTTTTCACTTCTATGTATCTATTTCCGGTGTTTTCTATAATGTCAGAGGCAGCTTGTAATCCCTTTGTGATGTTTCGACATGCTAGGATAACCCTTGCTTTTCTCCATGCCAATATCCGAGCTGTTTCCTTTCCAATACCAGTGTTGCCTCCGGTTATCACTACCGTTTTGCCTAAGGGTGAAATCATTAAAAAACTAGTTTAACATGACAGAAAAAAAGGACTTTTACTTTATAACATAAGATACATATTGTGGCACATCCAAATCGTTGTTCTTTTTGTCCGCCACTGGTGTTCAAATCAGCTATAAAACTGGAATTTGGAAACACTGGTTTCCAGAGTACCCGGAGAAAAAACTCTTGGATCTACGGTGAGAACCAACATACCCACACTACAACTGTCTTGCCTCTCAAACAGACTTGAACGGATGCCACATACAGTGTAAGTAGAAGGCAAAATAATTTTCTTATCACTATGACGTGGCACCCTAGCACCCACCGGAAAGAGGAAAAAAAATTACAGTGATCTTTTTGTTTCTTTTTAGCAAGTTTTAAGTTTCAAACTTGAAGCAAGTTCAAGTTTCAATTTTAGCTGAGGTTCTTAATTGCCACATAACAGAAAAATACAGTCAAACCTCCAATTATAACAGCCAGCTCTCCACAACTCCTTTTGTCCCAGTGGACAGTCTATACATTGACTCTTGTTTAAACCTCTCTACTACGGCAACAGCCACTAATGCATATCCAAAATAACCTCTCAACAATGGCCAGTTTTTTCAGTGACTAAAGAATGGTTATGAAATTTGATCTGTATGGTGCATTGATGATTAATCGTGGCAATCATATTTTGGTTGGTTTTCCATTTATCTTGCTGCAGTAGGCATATTTTAAAAATTGACCACAATACTTATAGTGAGTGTTGTGAACCTTGCTTGTTTTGTCTTAACATTTAGATTAAAATTATTATTCAAGTTTTTTTGTGTATAATTTTATCTCTATATAATTATTATTTATGATTGGATTACCATTACAGTAAGCATGAACTTAGCACAATAAGCATGTTGTACTCCCCCCCAAAAAATTGTTAATGGCAACCTCTCCACAATGGCCACTTTCTTCTGTCCCCAAGGTGGCTGTTGTGGAGAGGTTTGACCCCTGGGGGGGGGGGGGGACTCCGCATATGAAATGGTGGGGATGCTTGTCGTCTCGCTTAGGGGTGTAAATTTTGTATTTTGGTCTCACTTAGGGTGTTCTGGGAAAAACGCCATCATATTTAGCCGTGAAGGTCTCGTTTAGGGTTGCATGCGAAAAAATATAAAAATATATATTTGATATGTATATTTTTTTCGTCTCTTTTAGGGGTCAAAAATGCTTGGGCCACGCCCAGATCGGTCTCCTTTAGGGGTTTAATTCAAAATTTCCCACGAGCATCTCCACCCATTTCATATGCGGAGTCCCCCCCCCTGGGGGGTTTGACTGTATTAAAATTAATAAAACTGACACATGAACAAGGATTAAAAAAATGTGGAAGTGAGTCAATGGGGTTATGGGGAGTTATGCACCTAATCTCCTACAAAAGACAAGGTGTAAAATTTATTAATTTATCTTAACTTCAGCAAACAAAAATGGAAACGAACAAAAAATAAAATTTGCCGTAGGAGGGCTCTGTAGTAAAGTATATAGCGGCCCTGTATGCAGCAATCACCCCGTATATTAGGGTCACTGGACAATTAGATAAAATTTTCAGTTGAATTTTATTTTCTGCAAAGTTTACCTGTATATAGCGGCCCTGTATGTAGCGTTCACCCTGTACATCACAGTCACCAGACAACTTCCCAAAATTTTCAGTTGTCTTATATTTTCTGCAAAGTTGACCAGTGTATAGCGGCCCTGGATATAGCATTCACCCTGTATATTATAGTCACCAGACAACTTCCCAAAATTTTCAGTTGCCTTATATTATTTTTCTGCAAAGTTGACCTGTGTATATAGCGATCACCCTGTATTATAACCATCACCTTGCCAAGAGTGACCGCTGTACACAGGTTTAACTGTATACAACACCACATGCAGAAAGGTACCTGTTAGTTTGGCAGAACTTGGACAGGAAGGTCCTTCAAAGTACATCCTGATGACAACTCCCACCACTACTATGACTGGGATACTAAAAAGAATCAGAAAGCTACCATGCGTTTCTAGCAAAGCTTGTCTAGAGAGTTCATAAACATTGGCTGCAAGGAAAAAAAAATTATTACCACATTTACAGCCAAGATATAAATGTAAGCCTGGGGCATAGATTCTCAGCGCTACAATAGTTTTACAACAGCAAAATAACTTTTACAACTTACAATAAAATGAATTTACAGATTGGATGTTTAAACAAATTCAGATAATTTTCAGTAATATTAATAATGAAAATTATCCAAGTCCAAAATTTTTCTTCCTCTCCTGAGATTTATCTTACAGTAGACCCAGGCTGCATACCTTGAGCACACTTGCCACAGCTTACTTTGCAGTGCTTGGACATCCACTTGACATTTTTCTTGCATTCACCCCTTGCTGCCCAGTGACCACATTTGGGATGGTGATCCTCACATGGTACTGATCCTGACAAAACAATGAAATAATGAATATTTACTTGTAAGCAGTTTAGCAGAAAGCCACCCCTCTCTACCCCCACCCCTTCCCACTCAGTTTAAATTGAGCTCCCACTGCTAGATTTAACTACAACGATAAGATTTATAATTTAAGTGTGTTTTTTAAACATTTTCCACTAAGGGTTGCCATGGCTACATGGGAGACTGTGTTCTTCCTGCACCTGCTACAGTACTGTGCATTGTTTGTGAGTTTTCCTGATCCTTCAAACTCTCAGGCACAAATCCAAGGGGAAAATATATTTTCATAACAGCAGCTAAGAGATCACATTGATCAAGAGTTTATTACCGTTAGATCATTTCACTCTTTGCATGTTCAAAAATTTCATATTCAATAAAAGATTAATGTAAACAGTAACAAAGGACTCTACTGCAAAACATTAGTAGATGGCATAAATAATAGATCAACATATCTTAGAAAGGGGCAAATGCCACACGGTTTAAGCAAGAACATTGAAAGAACTTGACAAGGCTTTCTAACTTATAGAATTAATTCGTTTCGTGTCCGCGCAGTTCGAAAACTTGGATTACAGTACTTTGGCGTTTTCTTAAAAGGTCTTAAAACTGTCAAAGCTTACAATAAATCATCGAGGCCTGGGACGCATACATGGCAGGTGCAACTAATAATTATTTTAACATCTCAAGTTTGAAAATACTGATTAGAAGTAGATCGCAAAAAGGAAGCAGTAATACCCCTTAAAAAGGAAAGATAAATTGACTAAAAAGAAATTGAAATTACTAGATAAGTATTATATTTCAAAGCGGTACAAAGTTTTTAGTAAAGAAGGCTTAAAATTGTGGTTATAAAGCTTAGAACGTATCATTGGCACTTCGTGACTTGATAGTACGCGTTTAAGGTCTAGATAAAATTTTAGGCTTCAATCTCAATGAAGGATAAATTTAACAGTATCAAAATATGTTAAAGGCACTAACCTGTCGCATAACTGAAAGCAAGTAAGAGAAACAAAAACGGAACGACAATCTTCATCCACCAAGACGCCATAATTATTGACGATGTGAAGTCCGAGTGGAGACTGGAAAAAAAATTGGCGTGACATGGAGAACTTTTCGTGACTGAGGCGCACGTGCCCCATTCTCGGAGACCCAGGTGAAAGTTTACTAAACAGCCACAAGTTGCTCGGCAATTTTTTAGCCTTCGTGGTTGGCGGTTTTGTTGGTGTGTTTTTCGTTTTGTGGTTCGCAAAGTAAGAGATACAACCGTGCGAAAGCCCCTCGCCCATTGTTTTCTGTTTCGACCTCAGTTCTGCATTCGCGCCGCTCTAACTCTTCGTTTGCGAACCACAAAAAAACACCGAAAAAACCGCCAGCTACGCAGGTGAGCAACGTTTTGGCAACTTCAGCTATTTGGAGCAACTTTTTGGCAACTTTTAATGTTCGGGGCAACTTGATTAAATTTTTGGCAACTTAAAGGAATTACAAAGTCCTCTTACAACCCACAACCGGGGGCCTGTATCGTCGCCCATTGGGGGGTTGGGGCGAAGTACAGGCTAAACTAAATCAATCGCTGATGCAAGTTTAATATTTTCAATTGCTATCGGATCTTCAAGCCATTCACACTGATCAAAAACAACTAGTTGAGTGCAATTGAAGCAAAACGCATCCGTCATTTTAATAACAAAAAATGTATGTCATAGATTTAACAACCTGGCATATTATTACAGGCCAACTTACTATTACAAAAGTGAGGAACTTTAAACAATGGTACAGGAAAAAAAGTCATTTTTCTAAATAAAGAAATTTTCACTGAATTTCTAGAGCTATTAATGTGTATTTATAATTAACTTAAATTTACAGTTTTTAAAGCACAAACACTGAAGAAAACAAATGAGTACAGAATTGTTGCAGGTAGGACAGGAAACACTTCCTCTATCTAGAAAACTAACTATAATGATAAATAAAATATAAAAAAGTCATTTGAATCAAGACACCAAATAATCGCAAGGAAATATTCTGGCCACCACATGTAAGACAATACTTTTTTTGTGTTAAAGCTGGTATCAAGTTTTATTGTTTCCAGCTTTCTCCTGTTATCCTCTCACTTGCTTCCCAAAGCTTCTTTGCCAAGCCAGGATCTTTTGCAACTTTACTACACTCTTTGGCTTTGCAGTCGCTATAGTAAAGACCCGAGACACCAGCCAACTCTTCTGCAACTGAACAGTATATTGTAGTTTGTGCTCCTTGCTTGCAATCCTTAAAGAACAAGAATGTTAGAAACTGCCAAAGCTGTTTGACAAGGGGCATACGTATCAACTTCCAGTGGCGCCAAATATCAGACTTGATAGCACCAGGATGAAGAGCATACACAGTTAAGCCAGTACCTGCAATGAAAATTGAACAAGTACAATTTTTTCAGAAGATGCACATGTATTTTTTGGCCAGTTCACAAACAGTAACTAACGTATGGAACATCAACCACAACAATTTTATTCACTGTGCCCAAAACATTAAAGACCATTAAATTACAAGTTATAATATTAATTATGCATAGTTACCAGTAATTAAAGGGGTACCGACTTCACAAAAATACCCAGAACCTGAAAATACCTAAAAATGCCAGGAAGCCTATAAATATTACAGATTCAGTAGGATGATTTTAAAAACATATTTACAGCAAGGGGAGGTACAACATGGCAACTCAGGAATGTATATGTTGTAGTTAATATTTTTACCTCAGGTAATTTTTATGTTTTCTTTGTTTCAATAATTTCTTTAGCAAACATTAATATTACCATACCCCAAAACAAAAGAAAAACAAAAATTAACCACAACATACACACAAACACACACGCTAGTAGAAATAAGCCAAAACGAAAATCACAACTGCATTAGCAAGCTAATAGAGATTATTATTACTGTTATCAAAAATAATGTTGTTATCACTATGTTTCACATTATTACCACTCAAACAAACCAGTATATTCCATAAGTGTTTTTAATTTGTCTAGATCAGATCATAACATCACTGCGGATAACATATTGCCAATGACAATGGCCTGTAACTGTATGAAATTAAAAAAGTTGTTTTAATGCAAAAAGAAAATTGCTCTGCTTGCGCCCTCTCTTTAGGACACACCAGATGCTCCACTTTGTTATCAGTAATTACAAAACAAAACAACTATAACCAACGAAAGAAATGGCATAATAAACACTGAATTCTGCTAACCTGTCAATCTCTGACTTAGTTCCCTTGTAAACACAACCTGTGCAAGTTTGGACTCTCCATATCGTTTGAATCCTTCAAACTTCTCCTTTGAAAGTTTAAAGTCATCTAAAGGTATAGCCTTTGGCTTAGTATGAAGTATCGATGACACATTTACAATGCGACTGGGGGCAGACTTCTTTAACTTCTCCAACAGCAGCATGGTCAGAAGGAAATGGCTGAGGTAGTTCACCTGAAATACACTTTCCCATCCATCCTTAGTTAGCCGGTATGATCCCGCTGCAAGACCAGCATTGTGAACAAGAATGTCAAGTCTCTCTTCTGTTTCATTGATGAGCCTTGCAAAGGCTCTCACAGACTCAAACGAGGCCAGGTCAAGAACCCTGATGATAACTTTATCACTTCCAGTCTCAGAAATGATGTCCTTGGCAGCGTTAGAGGCCTTCTCCTCATCTCGGCAAGCCAAGATAACCCTTGCTCCTCTCTTGGCAAAATCCAGTGCAGTCTCCTTCCCTATTCCAGTGTTTGAACCTGTGACTATAGCAGTCTTCCCTAAAACAGCAAAGAGTAATGAGTTAAAGGGACAGGTTCATGGTTAAGTGCATGCTCACATGAATTAAATTACTTTTTTCCAATTTATTATTACTTCTATGGGTTAATAACTGCACTCACATGTATCTCAGTGAGCTCAGAGTGTATTTCAGAAAAACCTGAAGTAGGATGGAGGAGTACTAAAATCGCAGAAAAAATAAGTGGATTATGCCGACACTACCAACATTAAATTTATTGCTGACCCTAAGGTTTTATTCCACGGTTGATTAATTTACAGCTATTTGCAAATATTCAAGTTGATCAAGTGCAAGCGACTGCCAGGGGAGTGTGCAGATCGGCTCTTTGACAACATTATGACATATTGCTTGCATAGATGATACAGCATGTCCCAGCAGAAAAACAGCATTTTGATGAATGAGCTGTGTGCTGAACCATGAACCTGTTCCTTTAATCAAGTAATTAATAAGCCAAGGGTAAAAATGACATTTTCAGCATGATGGTATAATAGATTACCCTAAAAGTATTTACTTATAGAAAGAATCTTCGGGGGGGGGGGTGCACTTGAGTATGGGGGGCGATTCTCCACCCTGTCTATGGAAAAAAAAGACGCGAAAATAATACAGAAATGGCACTTTCAGGAGCAGAAATCTGAAAAAAATTCTAGGTATGAATGAACCAGTCTCCCTCCAAAAGTTGTGTTGAACACTGAAAAATGGTCAAGTCTTTTCGCAGATCCCCATGTCACCTGGGCAGGTACGTGCATGCTGCCAATACCTTTTTATTTGAAAGATTTTGCATTATTATAACCCTTCTAACCCTTATAACCCTTCTGTTTTAGTATTTTAGAGACTAGCTATTTTTATGCAAGAAACTCTTTGTAGAGACACTCGATTAATAGACTATTGTCTTTTATTCTAATTTTTCATTTCTATACCTTTCATATCTCGTGAATGTTCATGTCACTAACTTGAATATGTATGTATATAAAATTATGTATACATTTTCTTTTTCTTTTTTTTAATACTATGAGATTTCTGTACAGTTACACGACAATTTTACAATATTAGATTGTTCTACAACGAGACTTTCCTCTTACTACTACTAGATTTTACTTTTTTGTCTATAAAATACTATTATTTTAAATCCTTATATTTTCCTAGGGTAGGCACCCCGCATGGGTCTGAGTGTCCTGTCCGTACCCATCCCTTTTGGGCTTTAATTCTTTATGTTTGTATATTTTCAATTCTTTTATATATTTCATTTTTTCGATTTGATCTTGCCCAATAAAGCTAACATTTTGCTGTTCACTCACCATCCAATCGAGCCTTGGACTTACAAACTGCTCCACTGAAATACCATTTAATGAGAGCAACCAAGCAAATGATCACTCCTATGACAGCTATCAGTGTTGTGGTTGTTCTTTGATAGAGAGAAGCATCATCTTTTTGAAAAACAAAAATGGTGGAATTAGTAGTGGTAATAAGACTAATAAGTAGAGTATAAATATTCACACAGTAATTGGTTGGGTTATGTCAAAATATTTTAAAGTGTATATGACACAAATTTTTTAAGCCGGTTTTAATTTCTTAAATATGTTTAACATAACTATTCGTAATTCAAACTCTTCAAAATCTTGCAGAACCTTTTATTTTTGCCTTCAAATCGAGCATTTTTGCCTCCAAATATGTCTGCCCTATTGCACTGCCAGATATAATAATAATTATTGACAAATATGATGTAGAATCATTTGCAACAATGTAGAATAATTAACAAGATTGCCGCAAATGCAAAGGATCAGAAGGATTGTTGTTGTCAACAATTCCCAAATCATCATCAGAATTTTCATTTATTGGCTATACTTTTGTTACAGCCAGATACATCCGTAATTCCTCTTTGAAAACACAAAGTAATAACCAGAATCAGAAGCAAAGGCTGAGAAAATCAAGTAATGTCACATGACAGATCGCCAGCCTTTCTTAGATCCCAATCTGTGGGACATTTCTGAAGAGGAAAATGCAGTCTTTGGGGGGCCAAAATTTGAAATGCTTTTTTAGGTATAGACCAGGGGTATAGACTCATTTTTAATGCACAGAATTAAGTTAAAATTAAACTTATCTAGTGACTAAAGTCAGTGGTAAAAAATTTATTGCATACATGACACAAAATGTGTTTGCTGATATCAGATGTTAGACACACGACAGCAAGCTAATAACAGTAACAAGCTGATCAGAAAAAGTACCAGAATCCTGCCCCCTATCCATGAGCTACAATAGTGTATATGGACATGTGTGTGTGGGGGGGGGGGGAAGTTTAAAGATAATAATAAGGCCAAGAGAACATGAGGGCTCCTGTCTCTGCCCCACACCCCTCCCCCCAAACTCTTATCTGAGGGTCTAGATGCCCGCCCCACCCCGCTCCACCCCCCTTATCTCAAGGTCTGGATCTCCAGAAGTTGGCATTTCTGAGGTAGTTTTGGGCAAGATTTCCGCACAGCCAAATACATTTATTTTATGATGCAGACATGTTTTGGCTCTACATTGTATAATTACTTGTTATTTGTGAGAAATAGTACACATGGGTTGCCATGCAAAATAACTGTGATTCGGGAGACTGCCGGTATGATGTTACCAGTGTCATCGACTAGTCCTATATAAAGATCGTCTCCACAGTTCAGTAGCAACACCAAAATCTAATAGTATTGAATTACAGCATACCTTTTCTAATCTCAGCTCCAAAGGAAGGCATGAAATGGTAAGAAGTTGAAACAAAAAGCGTCAAAACACAGTTCATGTCTCACGAGAACTCTAACCGCGCTAACGAGGTAGATTTGTCCGCCAGGTAGAAAGAGGTCTGGGAACGATTACATATGGCAAGCAGGAAGCAAAACGAAGCAAAACTGTTTGCGCGCAGGCAGCTCGGGCGGGACTCGGAGCGACTGCGCTTGTAGCGAGAACAAGGCTGGTCACACCCGTGGAAACAGCAGAAAACATTCCAAGCATCTTGATCCAGCGTCAGACCTTTAATCTTAAACCAAAGCATAACCATTTATACCATAGCTTTCGCGTAGGGTGATTTTCACTAGCCTGTGTACAGACCCCCCTCCCCCGTCTCTTCAGTAAAAATCGTACAAGGGGCCCCTTCTCCGATTTTTACTGAGGGGAGGTTGGGGGGGGGGGTCTGTACACAGGCCAGATTTGCTCTACTATACCTGAAAAAAAAATTACACTGCCATTGCCAGGAGAAAAAGTATACCTATCCAGCCAGATCCAGCATACATTTTCCGTATTTTCAGCAAGCGAGGCGCTTATTTAGATTTCCCAGCCAGCTAATTTAGCCAATGTTTTATTTCCCAGCCAGGTCAAATTCTGCCTAACTAAGCGAGTATTTTGTCGGAGCGGCGGTGGGTACTCCTGCCGAAAATTTTTTTTAAAGAAAATTTTACTTGCCAATAACTTGCCTATGCACATGTATACATATGTAGTACCCGCCCGGGGAGGGGGGGCCGGGGGGGCACTCTCTTATATAGGCTACATAGGTATGTGCCGCGCCGAAGGGTATTATTTTTTAGCCGTTTTGGTCTGAAATAGAGTATCAATAATTTTGACCATTTTTGTCTGAAATAGGGTATGGTTTGTGGACTCTAGTCTTGAATCTGGTATGTTTTATTTTTGGAAGAAGCCATATCATTAGGCGATAAGAACATTTCCCTTTCAATGTTTACGCCAACCGTGTACTAGACTGCGAGCAAGCTCTCGTATTTGGGCGAGTGAAGCAAGTCTCGCGAAACGTCGGCCCCTCTCTCGCGCGTTCTCGCGAGGCTCACTTCAATTGCCCAAATAGGAGAGCTTGCTCTCAGGCTAACCGTGTACGTGCCGTAACAGCTTGTCGCGCGCTGATTGATTTTGTAAGGGACAGGTCTGAAATAGGGTATGAAATTTTTGATCAGGTCTGAAATAGAGTAGGGAAAACCACAGATTTTGGTCTGAAATAGCGGCGTAAGGGTTTCAGGAAGCGTGCCACACTGACCCTCACCCAGTGTTTCTGGCCATGAGTACCCCCCACCCCTCCCTTGTTGTACCAGGAGTGAGCCCCTAACCTCCCAGTATGGGGAGTTATGGGCTGCTGGTAGTACATCGTATTCACTATTGTTAAGAGTACATATCTAATCAAATGAAGAATGATCCTCGCAGTTGTGAATGCAATTTATGCAATTTATGCAATTGCGTAAGAAGCCTGAAAAAAAATTCAGGACTGTTTTCATGCTTTTTTTCAGGCTTCTCACGCATAAACTGCGTTCACAACTGCGAGGATCATTCTTCATTTGATTTCACTTCCGCAGTTCTCATATATGATTTATTTCATATACATTTGTCACAGTACAAACTCTAGCCGGATTTTTGAAAACGCCAAATAGCTGAAATGGCCCGTTTTTTCCGTCCAACAGTTTTTTTCGGTCAAAAACTATCTCAAAGTAGCCATTGTAAAAACTAAGAGTGCAACCATTGCTTTTTTTCTCTTCTTCTCCTTTCTTCCTCCTCGCTCTCTCTTTCTCTCCTTTGCTTTTCCTTTGTCAGTGTGATTTTGGAGCTTATGGGGCTTAAGAAACCTGTCTTTTGACTCAAATGACTGCAAATTTCGTTAGGTTGGTTTTCAAACTGATCGGTTAGATAAACGTGGTACGCAACTATATATAGAAACAATACAGGGTTTTACCGAAATCCTTTTATTTAGCCGCTTAATATTATGTAAGCTTTGTTGAGTGACAGTTGTTGGGAAACTAAACCCCCCTTAAAAAGATACTGTAAAGGTAACATAAATATTACGTGGACGGAAAAACGTACTTCAGTGAGAAAACTAAAACAAAAAAGCGCTGACCATGAGACGACCTGGAAATTTAAAGAAACTATAGTACAGTGAAACCTCTATTAAGCGGACACCTTCGGGACCTTCCCAAGTGTCCGCTTAATAGAGGTTGTAAAAATTGCGCAATGTTTGTTAACGATCAACATTCAACGGTTACCCTGTACTGTGATAAAGTTGTATGTTGTTAAAGAAGCTATCCAGAGTTCAAATTCATTACCTTTCATTACCAACTTTAATTTGTTTGTAAATGCAAAAACATTAATTGACTTCAGTACGTATTTCAAGGACGTAATCAAAATAAAAAAATACTATTTCAAAATTTCAAAAAAAAAAAAAAGCCTTTTCAGGCGCAAATATCAAATTGTCAATTTACAGCTGAATTTAGTCCGATGTCCGCTTATTAGAGGTTTTTAACAATAGAAAGTAGCCAAATACAACTTATTTTAGTGTCCGCGTCCGCTTAAATAGAGATGTCCGCTGAATGGGGGTTCGTTATAAAGGGAAATATCAGACGTTCGTTTCGCGACCAGGCTTAGTGTCCGCTTAATAGAGGGTGTCCGCTAAATTGGCGGTCCCCTTAAAAGAGGTTTCACTGTACTTAAATATTCTTTAAACAAAAAATCGCCTATTGTAAACGCACGTCGCCTGAGTAACAGGCGGAAAAAGGAGAGGGTAGGGGGAGGACGAGAGTGAGAAAAGAGTCAAAGGCCGGAAAAGGGAAGAGGAGCTTACCTTATCCTCTCTCGCCAGTCCCCCTCTCTTTTCCCTTCCTCCCAATCCCCTACCCATTTCGACGCCTGCTACGCAGGCTAAAACGCTTGTGGCTGCTATGAGCATCTGCATGGATGGAATGGACATGCTTCACCTGAATAAATTACACAAACACAGTTGCCAAGGAATAACGTTCAGAAGTAGACAAGATATCCAAAACGCGCTCGGCTATTCCGATTAAATAAGTGTGCTTAACTACCTGGATGCGTTTAAATACTGAAAAGTTGTCAAATGTGAAGCTTAGGAAAGAGAAATACGAGTAAATATAGAAAATACGAGTAAAAAAGAAGCTAAAAACGAGGATAAATGCGAATAGATAAGAAAAGGTTCTTAGAAGTAAAAACATATAAAATTTCTTCCGTCACAGCGTTAATACTACTCCACATGATATTTTAACACTAACACAATCTTAAAAAAGTCTTGTAGTACAAACTCTTTTTGTCTTTTTATCCTTAAATATTTAAATACGACAAGAAACAAGAGAGGATCTCTGGCAAAAAAAATACTGTTGAAGATTAATCTGGGGAAAAAAGAGAGAAATTTTCAACGACTTCCATTTCATTATGCCTGGAACATGCTACATGTATATAGAATTCGACAATTTTTCAGCGCAATTAAACTAACAGTACAAACTACTTATAAAAATTTGCTTGAAATGGAGTTTAATGCAGTTTAAAGGTTAATTTCAGTCTTTCCAGAATTCTCCTGTTATTCTCTCACTCACTTCCCACTGCTTCTTAGCCAGGTCAGGATCTTTTGCAAGTTTACTGCACTCTTTGACTTTGCAGTCCATATAGTAAAGACCGGAGACATTAGCCAGCTCTTCTGCAACTGAGCAGTAGATTGTGGTTTGTGCCCCTTGCTTGCCGGTCTTGAAAAACAGGAATGTAATGATTCGTATCAGCGGTTTGGTAAAAGGATTGGTAAACAACTTCCAGTTTCGCCAAATTTCGGTTGCAACGCCACCAGGATGCAGGGCATACACAGTTACCCCAGTACCTGAGAAAAGAAGTTAACCCTTTAAGACCCAAGAGTGACCAAAATCAATTTTCTCCTGACATCGTCAATACACAATCAAGAGAAAAAGTTATGAGAATTAATAAAATGATCACCAAAGAGAAAATACTTTGATCTTCTTGTAAATTCTCTCAACTAGTTTAAAGAAATGTACAGATATGATCAACGTAGAGAACTCAGTGGTATGTGGATATTGGGGCTCTAGGACTTCTAGTAAAGGATTAGAACTTGAAATACACGTACTAATTAAGAAAGTGACTTGTGGAATGACTGTTGTTCACTTTACAGCGGACAATGTTCAAGACTTCTGGAGTAAAATAAAAAGCCACTAACACCCATGTGCACATTGAACTTAATCAGCTCCTGCGCCTTGAGCTTGTACATAACAAGTGGAGTTCATTATTCCCTATAAAGAAACCAGGTTACGGTCTGGCAATGTGGGCCTGTAGATCCACGTGTGCCCACATCCCATGCATATGGGTGGAACACTATGGACCCAGTATAAAAAGAAGCTAGCTGTTAATCAAGCCCAAAGCCAATGTGCCAGGCTTTCCAAAGAAAGATGAAAGCCAAATTTACTAACATCAAACAAGTGTCCATGTACTTCTTTTAAACCACCATGTAAAAACACAACATAACTGGCAAAATGACCGAGAGTCAGGGTTTTAGCCATCAGATAAGAAGCCCTGCCAGGGGGGGGAGGGGGTCCCATGTCGCTTGTTCGCCGTCTCTGTCGCAATTTGGTCGAGGGGGGTTGTCTCTTGTCGCAATTTCATTTTAAGCTGTCACTACTTTTTGGGCCATGTCGCTTGTTGGAATTTACCCTGGCAGGGCCTCAGATAAGGCAAGTGGCCTGTAATCACAATGACTTTGTTCCAAGGACCAATAATATTTAGGGTCGCAACTGCACCCACAAAACTATGAAAACTGAAGAGGGTGGTAAACAAGGTTCTAGTTCACATTTCACGGGCAAGAAATTGGTGTTTTCACAATTCACAAAAAACACAAAAAGCAATTCAGACTCAATGAAAATCACGGTTCACGACGAAATGAGAATCTTTTTTGCATTTCATATTGAAAATAATTTTGCAAAAACCATGCTTCACGGCTACTTAATGAAAATCAACGAAAATCACTATCACGGGGAAGAAAAATTGCCATTTCGCATTTCAAGGGAAACAAAACGAGTCGATCATGAGTCAAGAAAGTACCCTTTACCTGCACCCTCACTGAAGCATCTTAGGTGAACTCACTAGTTGTAAAGCAAAGATAAAAATTAAACTTAAGAATGTTACTAAATGTTTCGATGTTTCAAACATCATTATCAAGAGTGAAAGTTGTTAATTTTCAAAGTTGTTAAAAAAGTTGGCAATTAATGGCTTTGATACTTGATAATGATGTTCGAAACATGAAAACATGAAGTATCATGCTAGTTTAATTGTTCTTGTTAAATGCGCCAACATTCAACTGAACATCGGTTCTCTTAAAGATATAATATTATATTAGAGGCATAATTTGTTGTCAACTTGGTAGTTTGAAGTATCAGCCACGTCTTTGTCCCTCCCAACCCCCACCCCCCACCCCCACCCCCACATGGGAGAGAGGGACTGTCTAGCTCAGCAACCTATTGAGGGGGTGGGATAGGGTGAAGAGATGGCTAAGACTTCAGACTAGCTAACCTGGCTACAACTCTGCCTGCACTCTACTTAAAGTCATATTTCTCGAGCCAGATAGAAAAATTAGTTACTAACTACAAAGTGGAGTAAAGTTCCTTGTCTAAGGAAACAACACGATCAGCGAGGCTTGAACCCCGGACCTCCAGATCCAGAGTTTGAGGTGTTAACCACTCAGCCACACACACCTTCAAAATGTTTAGTTATAATAATTGTTATACTATTATTTAGTGTGTGCTGCAGTGCTTTGACTTCCTTCCTTACCTTCTAATCTTCGGCTAAGTTCCTTTGTAAACACAACCTGAGCAAGCTTGGACTCAAAACAGCGAGTGTAGGAATTAAAAGACTCCTCTGTAGGTTTGAAATCATCCAACCGGACTTTTAAGAAAGGAAAAGTGTGAGCGTTTGTTGATACATTTACAATGCGACTTGGTGCAGTCTTTTTAATTTTCTCCAGCAGCAACAAGGTCAGCAAAAAATGGCTCAGGTAGTTGACTTGAAAAATACTTTCATAACCATCCTTTGTTATCTGTAAAGGTCCAGGACCAACTCCTGCATTGTTAACAAGAATATCTACTCTCTCTTCAGTTTCATTAATTAGCTTCGCAAAGGCTCTCACAGACTCAAATGAGGCCAGGTCAAGAACCCTGATGATGACTTTATCACTTCCAGTCTCAGAAATGATGTCCTTAGCAGCTTCTGAGGCCTTCTTCTCATCTCGGCAAGCCAAGATAACCCTAGCTCCTCTCTTGGCAAAATCCAGTGCTGTCTCCTTCCCTATACCACTGTTTGAGCCTGTGATTATGGCAGTCTTCCCTAAAAAAATCAAAAAAGCACTTGTTTAATTGTTTCAACTTCTTCATGCAGAGTCACCCCCAGAAGGTACTCCCTATAATGAGCTATACTGGGAGGCTCCTTGCGAAAGAAGTACCTTGTTCAGGCTTCAGGTACTTCAAGGTCTTACTTCTTGAGGTTTATAAAAGAGTAGGTAAATCAATCATTGCCGCAGTCTGTGAAAAGGACCTAAAAGGGCTAACAGGTGCACTTATGGCTGTGAAAACATTCTGGTTTAGTGATCTATTCAGTGTTTTAAACTAGTATGCGAAAGGCTACCATTTATTTTTTCAATAAAAAGTATACGAAAGGGTTATACCCTTTCATTGAAAGATAGGATATAAGGGTAAGGGGATGGACCTTGGGGCAGAGCCATCCTGTGCAAAATTTTGCTGAGTACTGTCACCCCTACACAACCATTGGTTACTGCAAGTTTTTTTAAAAAACCAATGTTTGTGTCGGGGTGACACCCCCAGGGAGGGAGGGGGGGGAGTACTCAGCAAAGTTTTGCACTTCTGTCCAAAGGTCCAACCCCTTACCATTTTTTTTACATGTTATAATTTAAAATATTAAAATAATAAAAATAAATAACAATGAGTGCTTTTTGATGAGAAGGTGGAGTGGTGTTATTCAAGGGTCGTGCTTACTTCAGTAAGCACTGTACTTCCATTGAAAAATGGTATTCCTTTTACATACCTTTTCTAAACCCTTAGAATGAAGTTAGCGAAAGATTTTACCAAAATTAAAATGATACACCCAAATTCAAAAATGGTTCAGTTAACGTATGGTCCATTTAAACATATCAATAGTAGATTTTGCAAACCTTTCATAAATATACTTCAACTCATCAAATCCCCAACCCTTTCCATATAGTGAGACCTGCAAAAAGTACCCCTTTTACATCCTTTTGGGTGAAGCAATATTGTCCCTGAAGGTTTGGAACACTTGATACATACATGCATTCATTGTTTTATTATTTTTTAATTCTTACCATCTAGCCGAGCATTGCTCTTGCACACTCCGCCACCACAATAATACTTTATGAGTGCTAGCACACAAATGCATGCTACCAGGCCAGCTAACAAAGTTACACTAGTACTTTGGCTGGCAACATTACCACCTATAAAATAGTAAAGACAACTGCAATTACAATGTAATTATTTACAGAAAATGAAATACACATCTGTCAGTCCTAAGCTGTTACATATTTATACACATTAATCCTTATTTATGAAGTGGAAAGAGCAAAGAGGAAATTTAAAAAAAAAGAAATGAAATAGAACAAAATGAACATTGAATCCTGAGCAAGAAAAGTAGAAATGGTATAATATTATAAGAAATGCACCACTCAATTCAAGTAGTGTCCATACCCTGCTCCAACCCTGACCAATGGTAGAGCATTTTAATTGTGAGGGTGAAGCATTCAGATTTTATCATTATCCAGGGGCCAGGCATTTGCCTACCTCCAGGATAATCTCAGAGTATTCTGTACTATTCAGTTAAGTCATACAGTTTGAAAATGTTTGAATACACCTATGCTATGATCTTTATCAAAATTCAAGAAAATTGAGCCAGAAAAAAATTTCAGAACTTCTTCACATGTGATTTCAATGCTCATCACGCATGCAGTATAGAATGCAGCGATGCATCTGAAATCTAAAACAACTAATGGATTAAAATTTCAAACATTCAATTAATTTCTTAATGGCATTTTGCAGTGGGGGGGTTACATTTGGCTTGGCTAGACTCTAAACAAGCATAATTCAACACATAATCAGTGACCTTTAAAATCTCTCAGCAAATTTTAAGCAGTATTGGATTCTTGATGAGCTGGCACGCTGCAGCTGTTCACCAGCCCTGTGACACTTGACCCACATACACGGAATTTGTCACTGTTTTTTTTTTTGCCATTAACTGGAATGCTTAAGGGTTGGCACAAGTGCAGGACGGATAAACGGCATAAGCTACTGAGATTGGTGAACAACTCAGTCATCATCCAATTAAATATATCACAACGTACGGGTATGCTGTAGCTTAGATCATACTGTATTTACAATTTCTTTTATCTAAGGGACTAGGAATCTTTATCTTTAGGGGGAAAAAGGTAAAAAAAAACTTCAGAATTGGCGGGCTATGTAGTAGCTGGGGGTTAATGGGGGCTTAATGACCTGTTACTTATTCACCTTTCGACACATGCCACACCCATATCTCTTCTACTATATCGGTCAATTTCAAAAGAATAAAAGACGAACAAGCAAACCTTTTTGTATGTCATCTCCTAACAGAGGTCTGAAACAACAACAGAACGTGATTAAAACGTTGATCGAGTAAGTCGCAGCGACCGCCATGTTTTTCTAAGCCCAATGAAGCCCAGAGGACTGGGGACCAATCACGCGCGTTATGCGCACGCTTGCGCACGGGGCATGGACCACGGAATACAGAGCAGGAGCGGGACCGTACTCACACGGTGCTGTATACGTTTCGGTTCATCTTAAGGGAGCGAACAATACACAGGTTTTCAAAAAGATTCATTGCAAACTTGCTACCCAGTATTTCATAAAATTAACCATCCATCCATCCGCTGAAACATAAGTCGTTTTTCGACGTCTTATAATGCATGGTTCAATTTTACTTGTAACCATGCCCCCCGGGCACACCCCCGGGGATGTGTCATTTTTTCTTTCTTGCAGAAAGTGACAATTCCCCACCACCGAGCTCCTGATCGACCTTATATACATTTTTTGCTACATCTTTTTGATCCGTACAAAAGCGAAACGACACGTTTTCACAACTTTTATGAACGTTTTCCTGAGTTTACCGACAGAAGGATAAGGCTAGCCATAATGTAGTTCAAACATAAACAATAAAGTTAAAAACGAAAACGAAGTAGAAAAACTCGTTAAAAAGCGCCTCCTTTATAGAACACTTCATGAGAACACTGACCGAATCTCTGTTTCTCTCTATATATCAAAAGCCGTGTATTCGTTTTCATATAAAAACTTATCATTATTTAAATCTAAGCTGAAGAAATATTTCTGTCCCTTCTTTCCAGAAAATATGATCCGGCCAACATTCGAATGCGCATCATACGCACATTCGTTTCAAAGTTTAAAACATACCTTCAAATACAGACTTTAATTTTGATAAGTTTATATTCCTCTCCAACCACTCTCCGACAAATTCCTGCGTTTTTCCTTAAAAATACGTAGTCTTTAAGTCATGCCGTTTCACATTTTTCTACAAGTTTAATTGTACTGATCCAGGTCTACAACTGGGAGATCCGGCACCACTCATTGGTTTGTTGCTGTGGACTTGGGGTGTGTCTATTATACAAGGCGTCTAATACAAACTTGACCATTGCAAGGGGGGGCTTTTATTAGACTGGAAGCATTTATTTGAGAGTGGACGTCAATTCAATCATTTACGGTAATAATTTTCCAACTTGAGGCTTTTCATGCACGTTTACGTTTATTTAAATAATCCACAAAAGCATAGCCATCACGTGAATATAAGAAACAAAAATTACAATAAAGGGAGTACCTTCATTTCTGTCATTTCTCAGTTATTTTAAGACCCTGAGTGTTGGTCCGGCCCTGGAAATCAAACCCGCGATCTCCCGCTCTGCAGTCAAGCGCTTTACCGTCTGATCCTGAGCTCGGAATCCTTCCGCAGTCGGTAAGTTGGTTAGTTTCATGAAAAGTTCGACGTTGCCCCTGGGCCTATTCAAAGTAAGGATCGAGAAAGAAAAAAAGAAAATAATTAAGGACATTTCTTCTTGATCCTTTTTGTAAAGGGCATCCAAAGTCTTATGTTTACACGAGGAGTACTAATATTGCCCATTGTGCCAATGTTATAAATTATTTAGTTCAATCTTGAAAAAACCTTAAATAGATTTAGATAATTCTGGAGGCGTCTTTTAAAATATACGGTAAAAGTTGAAACAAAAAAATCGTGTAACTTGTTTTGCAACATTGCTTTAAAAGGAGTCAAAAAGCTATGTTGCTCGTTTTACTACCCAAAATAACACGACCTGCTTCAACAAAGGTGTAATTCGAGGGTAGTAAAACGCGCAACATTGCTATTCAACTCGTTTTGGTGCAATGTTGCAAAACAAGTTAGAGAGGAGAAGTGTGACGTCGCGTTACCATGGTGGCAAAATTTCTGGATCTCAACAATCTTTCTTGACAGGGGCGGCCATTCGCATTGTCGAACGATGGAAAAAAGTATGGGCTACCGTTTTGAGGTCCAGAAATTTTGCTACCATGGCAACGTGACGTAACGACTTCTCCTCTCTAATAAGTTTAGAACATGTTGGGCGCTAACGCGCGTTGAGTTTGGCTTTGTGCGGCTTGTTATTTTATTCGTCCTCCCAAACCTGCGATCGGACTTCAGTATCCTTATTGCTACCCTGGATGCACAGAACTGAGAGAAACCATTTGATATTGTGTCAGGTTGTTTTGTTGTTTTATGTTTCCTTCCGTAAGCCAGAGAAAAGAATGCAGTCCTGTGAAGGGAAATTAAAGAGAGTTACACGCCTAAGCGAATTGTGCACTGAGAAAGCTATGGAGAAAAAACTTTCAACAGAATCTCTTCTCAGCCTTCCATACGAGGTTCTCCGAGCTTTATTCGGTAATTCACCAGGAAGCAGGAGTAGTATTATCGTTATCAACGATTCACCATTGCAAGTGGGCGAAAACGTGATCAATGGCGTTATATGCGGCTTTCATGCTCTGAGCAGAAAATTTATATTTGGTGAATATGAAACAGCTGTGTTTATGGAACCGCTAGAGAATGTAACTTGGAAGTTCTCAGTTCATGTAACAGGAATTGTAATGTATATTCAAGACTTTCTCCACGATCAAGCTCGTGATGTTTGTAGTAAACGAAGTCTTTTTTCAAGTCTAGAATGTATGGCGCTGGAAAATAGAAAGCGGATAGAAGAAGTATTATACCAGGAAGTAGCGCGATGGATTTTTAAGTACAACTGCTACTTTGCTTTCAAGTTATCTGACGAATTTATAAAACTAACCCAGAAGGACACGAGAAAATTAAAGACGGCGATTTTTTAAGACAGAATCTCGCCTCGGCATTTAATTAATTCAGAAGAAGAGAGTGAAAAATTGCTCTACTTGTTCTATTGTTTTATTATACTAAAACATATTATGAAGAGGACGTTTGCATCAATTAACCACAATAACTAAATGATATGATTGGCTAGGTTTCATTTTGAACACTGTGAAACCATGGAAACAACGATGACCGCATAATATTTTATTCACATAGTTATGGAAGACAGGCTTTTTAAACTGTTTCTTTTAGTCTTTGTTTACACGATTTAATCACACGATACCGAATAGGTCTTGCGCATGCGCCGTCACGAAAATCATAACTGATAGGGATTCTGTTCACAAACAAGAACAGTGAAATTCACATATCCCAAGGGCAGGTCTCTGGGGGTTTCCCTCCCATTATTCTCTCTTGTAGATAACAGCTGTTGCAGCCAAGATTACTTTATAGTTTAAACTTGGTAATAGCTTAAAGTTTTGTTGCCCATATCTATATAGTCAGGAATCATTTTACTCATGTACGATGGCTTTCCTATTTCCTATCCCCAAGAAACAAAGTCAAGTGAAATGTAATTTACTGTTAATCTATTTTATGTGTTGCCAAATGTTATTACTTTGGAAAAATTCCATGGATTAGAGTGGGGACGTTCTTCTTGAAAATATTTTATTTGAAAAGGGATGAATTTCCTTTGGAGTGTGTTATTCATGATTCTTATGCCATTTACGTATACCTTAATTTTCCCGTTATCAGTATCGCTTTAGCTACCTGATTTCCACACACGTTGTTTCCAGTTGGTTTGTGTTAAGTACTACACTCGCTTGACTTCCTTTGGCGCTTTCTCCTTTCCCTCCTTTGACTCCTTTTCTTTCTATTGTAAAAATGGCAACTGTAGATAGTCTTCATTAGCTTTCTAAAGATCGCTGAACGAACCATTTGAAACCAATTTTGAGTTTAATCAGGGTCACCCATTGAGAATATAGTTTAAAACCTCTTAAACATAGCATTGTTGACCGTATTTTAGTAATTAAACGGTAGATTTAGGCATATTTTCCCCGAAATATTATCCCCGAAAAAAATTTTCATCGTCGGATTTCCTAGCTAAAAGTATAGTGATCCAAAAATTATAGGGATCAGAAGTTGCCTTTTCAAACATTTCAGCCAGAAAAAAGGCTTCTGAAAATTCTAGGTGACCTTTTTAGGGTAAAAATCCGTTAAAAATGGGGAATTATACCATTTTTTAGATGTTCGAAAATCCTAGCAGAGGAAGGCAAGCAAGAAATTTTATAACAAATGTTACCAAAATTCTGGATCTCAAATCGTCTTCGGAACAGATATTTTCCGAAAATTGACGTTGGGTGCCCCTGTTTAATTAAGAGAAATTTAAAAACCTTTGAAAGTTTTTTTTCTGATAAACTTGAAATTACTGTCCTTGATGATGTAACACTATGACAACTGTAGACAGTTTCTACTGATATTGTTACCAGAGTAGATCACTGATTGAATCATTGAAAGTTTAAACTCACAGACTCAATTGATGTTTATCATTTTGTAACTAATTTTGGGTTATCTTTATTTGGATCGAGCACAACTGGAGTTTAAAGCTAATCAAGACCGAAAGAAAATCAAAGGATCAATTCTCTATAATAAACTTTTTCAGAGTGATCTCATAAGTAGAAATGTATCTTCTCTGTTCCAGATCTGTTTCACTTCAGTGACCTGCTTAGCCAGAGCCTGATCTATCTATTGATATAATATTCTGTTGAAACAATGGAAACGGTGCCTTAATTTCCATGTACTTATTCAGCTCCCTTGAGTGAGAACCCCAATGCTACCTGGATTAATCAGATGCAAGAAATGCATCGGATGTGCATAACGATGTAATTTTAAAATGATTTGAAAGCACTTCATTGAATATAAAGAACTATGCTGATTGGTGCTTGAGATTGAGCGTAAGATTGTATTTTGCTATCTTAGGTGTTGGTAAGAGAAGTTTGTTGTGCGCTGGTTTTACTGATCCGCCCAAACCATCCGGGTGGTGTCGCAAATATATAGGGAACGGAACAATGGAAGAGGCGTCAGCCAATCAGAAAATACTGACGACACTGTAACTGATAAAACTGATTGGACAATACCGATTCTTTTGTCTTTAATTGGTTTGTTCGTTGTTGTGATTTGAAATGGCAAAGGGAAGTACCTTGAATGAAACTTTTGCTGGCCTTCC